AGCCTAGGTTTCTTTGACAGTGGCCTTCAGCTCATCTGCATTTTTTGGTCTCTTGTTTCTCATTTTCCTCTTGACAATACCCCTTAGATTCTCTATGGGGTTCAGGGAAGGTGAGTGTGCTGGCCAGTCACGCACACCAACACCATGCTCATTTAACCAACTTTTGGTGCTTTTGGCAGTGTGGGCAGGTGCCAAATCCTGCTGGAAAATGAAATCAGCATCTTCAAAAAGCTGGTCCGCAGAAGGAAGCATGAAGTGCTCCAAAATTTCTTGGTAAACGGGTGCAGTGACGTTGGTTTTCAAAAAATACAATGGACCAACACCAGCAGATGACATTGCACCCCAAATCATCGCCGACTGTGGAAACTTAACACTGGACTTCAAGCAACTTGGGCTATGAGCTTCTCCACCCTTCCTCCAGACTCTAGGACCTTGGTTTCCAAATGAAATACAAAACATGCTCTCATCTGAAAAGAGGACTTTGGACCACTGGGCAACAGTCCAGTTCTTCTTCTCCTTAGCCCAGGTAAGACGCCTCTGACGTTGTCTGTGGTTCAGGAGTGGCTTAACAAGAGGAATACGACAACTGTAGCCAAATTTCTTCACACGTCTGTGTGTGGTGGCTCTTGATGCCTTGATCCCGGCCTCAGTTCATTCCTTGTGAAGTTCACTCAAATTCTTGAATCGTTTTTGCTTGACAATCCTCATAAGGCTGCGGTTCTCTCGGTTGGTTGTGCATCTTTTTCTTCCACACGTTTTCCGTCCACTCAACTTTCTGTTAACATGCTTGGATACAGCACTCTGTGAACAGCCAGCTTCTTTGGCAATGAATGTTTGTGGCTTACCCTCCTTGTGAAGGTTGTCTTCTGGACAACTGTCAGATCAGCAGTCTTCCCCATGATTGTGTAGCCTAGTGAACCGAACTGAGAGACCATTTTGAAGACTCAGGAAACCTTTGCAGGTGTTTTGAGTTGATTAGCTGATTGTCATGTCACCATATTCTAATTTGTAGAGATGGTGAATTGGTGGGTTTTTGTTAAATGTGAGTCAAAATCATCACAATTAAAAGAACCAAAGACTTAAAACTACTTCAGTCTGTGTGCATTGAATTTATTTAATACACGAGTTTCACAATTTTAGTTGAATTACTGAAATAAATGAACTTTTCCACAACATTCTAATTTATTGAGATGCACCTGTACTTAATGTATCCTTGCTGAATAAAACATGTTTTATTGATCCCAAACTTTTGAATGGTAGTGTATATGCTTATTTACATAGTACCACTTTGTGTCTCCCCCTTGACTAATTCAAAATCTACCAATTAATTTAATTGAGCAATTTTATTTAGGTCTCTTCTGCTATAATTAAATTGTGTTGTACTGTTAATAAAGACATTATATTTTCCTTAGAATTTCCCATATCAGCCAATGCAAAACTCATTTCAGTCTTTTATTAGTGTCTTGTAGGCCCCAGTGCAATGTGCTGACCCTCTGTTTCCGTCTGTGGTGCCACCAAACCGCGCACATGAGCATCTCCCCTGCTATGATTAGCAGCCCTGAAAGCTTATATACACACGATCCTCCTCAGCCAGTGGCGTACAGCCAGAGGAACAAACATGAAAGGGAGGAAATGCCAGGAGCGTTTTTTTAGCAGAGTCACAGTGACGACTCAAGCTAATCGTGCTCATTAGCCTGATGGTTGTAGTAGGTATCTGTGTATCTGCTGTAGGTACCACTGAAAAGCTTCCGAGTGGGATGTTTGAGGTCTGGCGTGTCATTCGTGTGGTTTATGGACATCGTTTGGTGGAAGCAGCACAGGAAAGAGCCGGCAGGGCCCGTGACCACTCTTAAAACCTCTAATTTGGACAATTTAACTGGGAGAATAGTTTCCATGTCTGTTTGTATGAACTCGCCGTTAAAGTTCAAAGTTGCACAGACTGAAGTTTGATAAGAAGTCTTTACATTGTAATCTTTTAGCGATTTAGATGATTTAACTACTTTTGCCCACCATCCACCGCCCAGTTTGACCAGCCACATTTTTATTGGAAGATTATATATTATATTATATTATATTATATATTATATATTATATGATATTTATTATATTATATTATATTGTATTAAGAAATATTGTTCTTTTTTTATAATTACATTTTAGATTTAATTAGTATATTAAAATATTTTTATATTACAAATGTTATATTTTTATAAAAATATTTACATATATGTATGTGTGTGTGTGATATTTATATATATATATATATATATATATATATATTAGATATTTTATATGTGTATTCATTTTAGTAATTTTATGTGATTTTTGTATTATTTTTATTTGTTTTAGTTTGGTTTCAATTTTATTTATTTTATTTACTTGTAGTAATTTTAGTGCTTTAACTTGAACAAATCAAACATTAGAAATGTTCCTTTGGCAGCAAGTTTATTCGTGTTTAATGCTTATTCAGTGTTTTCAGCTTTACTACGGTTAACAAAAATGTTACGATAAAAACCCTGGTTTGTATAAATGTGCAAAATGTGCAACAACAACTTTTAGTGGATCGAAAATGTACCCAATTTAAATTTACATTGGCTTTAAAAGTGAATTTGAATCACTTTGATTAGTATCCTAGTTCACTGACTCAAAAAATGAATCAAACACATAATGATGTCTTTTCCATTTGAATGGCTTCATTCATGTCTATATGTAAATATGTTTTTCCTGCCACAGATTTAGCTGACTAGTCCGTGTTTTCAAACTGACATTGATATGCTGCCCTGCATGACAAAAGTTGAACTATTTATAACTTAACATGGCGTCTTTAAAACGTGTCTTGTCATGAGACGCTGAATAACAGTGAGACATGCTGTAATGGCTAAAGACGTCCATCTAGTTCAAAAAATACATAGTCAAGCACTTAAGAAATGCCTCAGATGAGCACAGTATTTTTTGTGAACACCACCCTCACATATTTATACTAGAAGCAAGAAGCACAAGTAGATTGTCTCATTATAACCCCTGATGGTCTGGGTCCACACGTTCATCCATCTATAAAGCAAAACTGCACAAAAATGCCTGGCTGGTGTTCATTTCACACATGTTTAGAGGACAGAGTTTGTCGGACTCTGTGTTCTTGCTCTGTAATCCCAGACAGTGTGTCAAGGTTGTGTGTGATATGCTGTGACTTGTATTAAGAATCAGCCCGAGGGACTTCCACCAGTTGTGGTTTCTCACTCTTAAATGTGACAGTGGTTATTCTTTAACAGAAAGAGAAACTGCTGTATCACTGTAATTTTCCTTTTTCTTGCTGCCCTACAGTCACTTCTCAAATCCCAGTGAGGAACAAATACCCCGTCCGTCTCTCGGGGTGTGTGGTGACTCACTCCAGACACAGTAGCTTTCTCCTTTCATTGTTGCTAGGAGTATGAGACCCCCTGACAACGCCGGTTAGATGTCTTTATGTATGCAGTGGCTACAGGCAGTTTTAATGAAAACCCAAAAAAGTGAGACACCGCAGAATGAGAACAATAGCTCCAACTCTAAAAATGTCATGCATTCGGAGCCGTTCTCTATGGCTTTCTTTAGACCTGACTACTTCGGGAGCCTTCAGGATATTGTTAAATAATAATAACTACATTTTGGGGGGCATTTTTAAAAATAAATTCTGCAAGGATTCATTAAATCAATCAAAAGTAAAAAAGAAAAAAAAAAATCTGTTCATCAAAGAATTCTTCAGAAAAGGACAGTTTCCAGAAAATATTAAACAGAACTGTTTTCAACATTGATAATTTTCACTGAAGTAATGGCTGGAAATTCAACTTTCCAATCACAGGAATAAAATATTTTAAAATATATTAAAATAAAAAAACAGTAATTTTACATGTATGAAAATAAAAATATAGTGCATTATATTTTTAACCAAAAAAATAAGAATTGAAAGAAAAAAATCCAATACACATTAAACTTTCATTACAATAATATTTCCTCACAATCTCTGTGCCATTTGGATTTATTGGATTGTGTGGATTTGTTATTCCGTTAGTTAGCTAACATGTCAGTTTAAAGTCCCTGTAAAGTCAATATTAAGTATGTGTTCTGAGTAGGGTTGCAAAAAGTTGGGAAATTTCCAGTACATTTCGGAAGTATTCCAGAAATCTTGGAAATGTTCCAGGATTTTTTTGGAATATTCCAGGGATTTTTGGAAAGTTTCCGGAAATTTACCGGAAATTTTCCACCCCTTTGCAACCCTAGTTCTGAGTTTGTCACACCACAGAAAAATGCATTATTAACCACTCAGCCAAATTTGAATGATAAAAAAATCCGCTAAGTAAGTACATAAAATAAGTTATCAAAATCTCGAAAAAATGGGCAGTATCCTCAGCTCTCAGATGCTGGGGGCGTGTCCGCTGTCTGTGCTGAAACCACGCCCACTCTCGGGAAAGCTGCCGCCTCTTAACTGTCAAATACCGCTACAGCCTGAATGGATGCTCCTAGCAGCTTAACAATATTTGCCCATACATATTTGCTCCGGTGCGTCATCGACAGTTATTATAGTGTTAGGGGAGGGGCCATGATCAGTGGCTCCAGTGCGCCATCGAGCCACTGTTTTAGCCCCGCCCAGAACACAGAATTGGTGAAAAACTGTTTAACGGTCTAACTCCACTATTCAGTACTACAGAATTCAGTCTTTGAAATGTGTTTCAGTAATACATTTGTAATATTTATAATGCGTTTAGAAACTATTCTCCGAATTGACTTTACAGGGACTTTAACTAATTGTAGCTCGAACAGGAAGATTCTGTTGTGTTCACCTGAATGAGAAAACTGTAGAAAATCCATGACATCTCATCACACAAAATGCTATGCATACTAATATTGCACTGAAGTGTTTCATAATGCAGCGACAAGTGAAAACAAGCTTGGGGGAAAAAAACCCTGTCTGTCTCCTCATTCATGTCCCTCTCTGTCCATCTTTCTCTCTCTTCACCCTCGAGCAGCCAGGAGCTATGGTCGCAGAAGAGGTAACCTGTCGCCTTTTTATCTTTGTGCTCGCAGAAATGATGGGGCTTTTGCTCGGGCTGAATTCTTCCTCGTCTATGAGGGTCACAATGTCATAATATCTGCTTCCTTTGTGCAGTGACTGCATTAATTCATGTTGATTTTGCCATTGTTTTCTGCTAATTAAAATATTGTTTCCTTTTATGTTATTGCATACATACAAAGGAATATTTTAGCTATTGGTTTCCTAACAAAATGATCAACGGATGGTAAAATATTATGTTGACAAGATCTGTTTGAAATGAATCATATGGGCTTGCTGCAACTCTCATTTCAAGTCTTGAACTAATTCTGTCATCCAGTTCTGTGTCCAAGGGTTTTGCACCTCACATGTGTTGGCTTTGGCTCTAGTTTGGTTCTAGTACTCCTCTCATACCCCTTTTCCACCATGAACCACTAATATCTTAAAACTACAATCACCGAAGCTGTCTGAAAGTCCCAAATGTAGTTAATGGACACCCTGATTCTATTTTTGACTACTCATTCCTCGTCTGTCTAAAATAAATGGATTTGCAATCATATATGTGAGTTCATTATTGTTTTTGTTACATGTTTTAAAAACAGATCAATTAAGACAGCATTTTGAAACTGAATTAAATAACTTTGCATGTTTAAATATGTTCTCAAAACTAGGAATAGCGATGGAAAAGGGATATCAGTGCTTGTGTCTAAAGGTCTTCCAATCACAGCACTAATTTCTTATTTATTTGATTAATTTGATTTATTTTAATTTTTTGCATTGCAGTATGAAAATGAGCCTTGTTTTATGACTCTTTGAATATATCGATTGCATCTCTGTTTTTTAACGTGTCTTCAGGTTAACACTTCACAAATATGAGTAAGAAAATAAAGAAATGGGTTGTCTTTTGTAATTATTGGAGATTTTGGTGTTCATGGTGTTTAAAATTGATGAATTTTATGAAAGCTTCATTGTTTCATTTCACTTTGGAACAATCCAGTTTCATGTAATATTTCATTAATTAAACATTTTTAACCAAAATATATGGTTATTTATGCCATTGAAATACATATCATAATATATGTATATACTACCATTTAGAATTTGGGGTTTGCATGATTTTTTCATGTTTTTATAAGAAGTCTCTTATGGTTGCCAAGGCTGTGTTTATTTGATCAAAAATACAGTAAAATCAGTGATATTGTGAAATAATGTTCCAGTTTAAAATAGTTGTTTTCTATGTGAATATATTTTAAAATATTATTTATTTCTGTCATGCGAAGCTGAATTTTCAGCATCATTCCTCCAGTCTTCAGTGTCACGTGATCCTTCAGAAATCATTCTAATATGCTGATTTGCTGTAAACAGTGACACATTTTCAGGAATCTTTGATGAATATAAAGTTAAAAAACAGCATTTTAATATAAATGTTAAGTCTTTACAGTCACTTTTGATCAATTTAATCATAATTTTGAAATAAAATGGTAGTGTATTACATTAAATTAATATTATAACTTTCAGTGAGTTTAAATTAATTGGTGTAGAAATCTAGTGTTTTGTTTTTTTTTGGCCACTAATCAGTTTCTCTCCTCTGGCTCTCTCTCTCTCTCTCTCTCTCTCTGTCTTTCATCTCCTTTCCTCCTGATTCCTCCTTTTCTTCTGTTTGTTTTCTCTACTTCCTGTTGCAGGTCGCTCTTCACTGTTTCCTTTCGAGGACGGCTTCCTGGACGACGGTCACGGTGATCAGCGGCTGACCCCTGGCCTGAGCTCGCCCAGCCGCTGTCAGAACGGAGAGAGGATTGAGCGCTACTCCAGGAAGGTGTTTGTCGGAGGACTGCCACCAGACATCGATGAAGGTACATATACACGCCTCAGTGCTGAGCTTGAGTTTGGAGGTATATGTTAATTAATATTAATATTTAAAGGGGTCATATGATGCGATTTCAAGTTTTCCTTTCTCTTTGGTGTGTTACAAGCTGTTCGTAAATAGATAAGATCCCTGAAGTTGCAAAGACTAACGTCTCAAAACCAAAGAGATATACTTTATCAAAGTTAAGACTCTGCCACGCCCCCCTAAAACGGCTCATTCTAACATGCCCCCACATATCTACCTCACTATGTGGAAATAATAGCATAATGCCGCCCAAATGTTCATGCAAAGAACGAAGGCGTGGTTTCAGTAACCGCAGTTAGTGTTGAAGCAGCATGTCAGGGAGACGCTGTGTGTTTCTAGGCGAAAGCAAAAGCACTTTATTTGGCCTTCCGGAAGTAGATGCATTTAGGAATCTTTAAGATGACTTACAACAGAACAGCAATGCATTTTATGGACGACCGTTTCGTGAACCTAGGAGAGGAGGTAATTCTGACTTTGCTATGACAATCTGGTGCTTCTGAATCAGCTACTGTTTTGTTATTAGTTTAAGTATTTGCTATTGACTGTTCAAATGCGGAGTTTTGCTCATCGTGCGTGTGTGCGTGCGTGCGTGTGTGTGTGCGCGTGTGTGTGAGAGAGAGAGGGAGGGTCACGTCACAGTGGAGTCAGCTGACTTAACCGTGGCTTGTGTACTGCAAACAACACATACCAGCTTCATCACTGTGTCTGTCACGCGACTCTGTTCCCCTTTTGAGCTCTGACTTTACATTTATTTTGAAAGATGAAGCTCACGATTATGGTAAGGGGCGTTACATTTCCGACGAGTGCTTGCGGTGTTCAGCCAATCACAATGCACTGGGTCAGCTGGCCAATCAGAGCAGACTGCGCTTGTCGGAAGGAGGAACTTTGTAGAAAACGAAGTGTTTGAGAGAGGCGGGGCATAGAGGACCTACAATAATGTACAGTATTTGAAAAATAATTAAAGCATGTCAACATATTCTGTTACACCAAATACACCAAATAATGATCTTTAAAAAAGCATCATATGACCCCTTTAATCAATATTATATGTGTTAAAGGTACAGTATCATAAATCGAAAATTATATACACAATGATTTTAGTGCTGATATGTATTTGTTTCAGGTTTATTATCAATAAAGAGATAGTTCACCAAAAAATGAAAATTCTGTCATCATTTACTCATCCTCAGTTTCTTTCTTTCTGATCGCTCAAGATATTTTGAAGAATGTTTTGAAAAATAGTTGCTGGTAGCCATTGACTTCAATAAGGAAAAAAATACTATGGAAGTCATTGGCTACCAGCAGCTGTCTAGTTACCAACATTCTTCAAAATATCTTTTTGAGGGTGAGTAAATGATGACAGTTTTCATTTTTAGGTGAACCTTTAACTAAAACTAAATCTAAAATTATTAAAACAGTTCTGTTAATTGAAATAAATTAATATATACATACTACATTAACTTAAATTTAGTTTAGGTAGTTTCCAAAGCATAAATTCACATTTTTGTTTAGTTTAAATTGAAGCAATGAAATGACTAAAATAGTATATATTGAAGTAACAAAAATTACCAAAGCACATAAAATTGTTCTAAAATTTAAAAGAAAAAAAAAACTAATTCAAAATATTAAAACTATAATAGTATATAAATAATAGTTACTGTAAATAACACCAATCTGTTTGTTGCCTTGAAGAAAGATTGAGGTATGTCAGATTTTTTGTTTATAGTTCTTAAAATTGTCAAATAAATAAAGGGATTTAAAAAAATGCTAAAACTTTAATGACAGTTTTGTGGGAATGTGGGAACTTTATTTGTCTAATCATTTAGAGTTGTTTTTCACCTGGTTGCCAATAAAGGTCAATAAAATAAAATAAATGAATGGAATGGAATTAATTAAATTAAATTAAATTAAATTAAATTAACATTTCCTTAAATTTGCCACTGACTTAAAGTAAATCTTCTGACCAAAATATTATATAGACTGTGAGCTATGCATTTTTGGCCACAGAAAAACACCAGGCAAATGACTAAAGATTTGTGATATTCATAGCAATGAACTGCATTTTAATGAATTAGAGTCTACCGCATTGTTATTCAGAGGAGATGCAGGGACTGCTTGCTTTTTTTTTTTTTTTTTACAATGTTTAAAATCCATATTTCTGGCCTAAACACTATTTTTCTAACAGATGAGATCACCAACAGTTTCCGTCGCTACGGTCACCTGGTGGTGGACTGGCCTCATAAAGCAGAAAGCAAATCCTATTTTCCCCCCAAAGGTAATGACATTGACATCATCTCTCCTGCAGCACTTCAGTACAGCTGCAGATGTTTAACAGCTCAGTGAGCGTATGATTCCCCTTGACACTTCCTTCGTTTGAGTGAAAATAGTGAAAGTATTACGTCACAGCCGGTCAGAGCGTTTGTAATCAGCATGCACCTCAAATGAGTCTATTGTGTGGATGCTGGGCATCAGGAAACTGTTGTGTTGTGTGTGTCAGATTGGTCTCTATCTCGTCAAAGTGCCTCCAGGTGTTCATTGCTGTGGCTGGAACAGACGCACACAGACAAGTACTTACAGATACACACCTAGAGGGAGAAACCTACTGCATTTCATCATGTTACACACGTACATGTTTGTGTGAGTACCTGGAAAGAGGTAACAGAGATTGTTTGGAAGGGTAAACAGAGCACCGGTACAATCCACATATCATATCCTTGAAATTTGAACAAATATACTATATACTTCATATTATACTATGTATATTTGCTTAATTAATTTAGCAAATAGATGTTTCCTTAAGTTTTTTTTTTTACTTAGTTATGCCTGTTATAATGTACTGTACAAGCTTTTGTTACTTTCATTTTATTGCTTTTATTTATCTTATTTATATTATATATCAGTGCATCTATGCTTTTAATAATATAATAGTAATTGTAGTTAATTTTATTTCATTAAATAAATATATATTCAAAACTATATACACATACATACATATGTATGTTATAATAAACCAAAGATTTATTTATTTTATTTTATTTATATGACATTAATTACCAGAAATGTTGATTAATTACATTTATTTTCTGGCTTTTTATAGTTAAAAGCTTTTAACAATTTGTATATAATTTTCTTTATTATTATATTATGTAATAAAATATAGTGTGTGTGTATATAAACACACACATACATACATATTAGGGATGCACAATATTGGATTTTTGCTGATATACAATATGCTGATAACTGATGCCAATACCAATATATTTTTTTTTGTTGGGAAAACACAAAATCTCTCCTGTGCAGAGATTATGAACAAATTATTTTTAATTTTGGTTAGTTTTTAACAAAAAATTGACTTGTTAGAATAATAAAAAAAGATTTGAAAATAACTATAAACCAATTACTGCATTTTTCCCCTTCAGACAGATGCAGTTAACATTTTATTTGAAGATTTAACATTTGTAGATGATCTAAAGCAAAAGAGTTGTAAAAATTCTGGAAATCTTTTATAGCTCCTTGTATTTAAGTTTTCATAATCTGTTTGGGAAAAAATATAACCCACATTAATGAATAAATCTGTGTGTGTGTGTGTGTGTGTGAAGAGTTCATTTGCAAAAACCGATAAACGCCACTTAAAAAAAAAAAAGATTGCCGTGCATTATTCTCCACATATAGAGCAATCTGAACCCTAAACACGTTTAGTCAAAAAAGCCGGTTTTGTCCACTTTAAAAGCATCGCGAGTTCACGTTTTTCTGCAGAAGCCGACAAGCGCACTTGTTGTTTGTGAACAGAAGCCGATAAGTCCATTTTAGCGAATCAGCGCGCTGTATTCAGGTCAGGTGACAAGGCTACATTCACTTTGAAAAGACGTGCTAGCTGAGAGAGAGGAGTTTCGTCAAAGCTGACTAAAAGTGATCGAGGATGGATAATTTCAATGAACTTGATGAACCTGTGATATCTTCTTCAGGGCGAAGAAGGAAAATAAAAGCTGAAACGTTTTCACGGAACCTTGCAAAAGCAGCACGTTACAATGGTGAGGGAAAAGCTCCGTGTATTGCGTGTAATCACATCCATATGGTTTATGATCACAACAACAACGTTTGTCAGGCATCTACACTGTCATCTGAGGAGATTACAAAGATTAAACGAGTGTGTTTTTTTAAACTCTAAAACATGAAATGTGGAGTTATCTGCTTTTGCCAAAAAACGACGTTTAATATGTAAAAAAAAAAAAAAAAAACATACTTTCAATTAACTTTAATTTGGTAAATTACCTGTATTTGTTTAAGTTATTACTTAATCAAAACAACCCAACTGCATTTTGATTGATATTACTTGGAATGCACAATTTAAAAAAACGTGATTTCTGAAAAAAAAAATAAAAGGAGTTATCGGTTTTTGCAAATTAACTCTTCATATATATATATATACATGTTTGTGATTTTTATTCATGTAAGCTATAGCTTCTGACCTATAAATCAAAACATACTCATTTTATGACATAAATTACTGCTTTATTTAATCAGAAACAATCTTAATGTTGTGTATTTTACTTAATTTTAATACAAGTAGGCCAACAGTGCCCCCTAAGTAAATAAAAAGCCTTACTGATGAGGTATTCATCTTATCGGCAGGGCATATCAGCATAATTTTTAATACCTGCCCAATGCTATGTTTACATTTTAAGCCATTATCGGCCGATTCCGAAAATGTTCTGATAATATCGTGCATCCCTAATACATACATACACACACACACACACGCGCACACACGCACACACACACACACACACATATATATATATATATAGTCATGGCCAAAAATATCGGCACCCTTGGTAAATATGATCAAAGAAGGCTGTGAAAATTAATCTGCATTGTTAATCCTTTTGATCTGTTATTAAAAAAATTCACAAAAATCTAACCTTTCATTGGATAATAAGAATTTAAAATGGGGGGGAAATATCATTATAACATAAATGTTTTTCTCCAATACTCATTGGACACGATTAACGGCACCCTTTTATTCAATACTTTTTGAAACCTCCATTTGTCAGTTTAACAGCTCAAAATGTTCTCCTATAATGTCTGATGAGGTTAGAGAACACCTGACAAGAGATCAGAGACCATTCCTTCATCCAGAATCTCCAGACCCTTCAGATTCCCAGCTCCATGATGGTGCTTCTCTTCAGTTCACCACACTCATTTTCTATAGGGTTCAGGTCAGGGAACTGGAATGGCCATAGCAGAAGCTTGGTTTTGTGTCCAGTGACTCATGTTTGTGTTGTTTTTGAGGTTTGTGTTTGGATTATTGTACGGTTGGAAGATCCAAACATGGCCCAGTATAAGATTTCTAACAGAGTCAGTCACTTTTAGATTCAACAAGATGTCCAGGACCTCCAGCAGAAATATAGGCCCACAACATCAAAAATACAGCAGTATATTTCATTGTACACCATAGGAAACTTTTTATCCCTGTGTTCACCAAACCCATCTTGAGTGTTTGCTGCTAAAAAGCTCATTTTTTTAGTTTCATCTGACCATAGACGCCAGTCCCATTTGAAGCTCCGGTCGTGTCTGACAACAGAATATGCTGGAGTTTGTTTTTGGATGAGCTAGGAGAATTTTTCTTGAAACCCTTCCAAACAGCATGTGGTGTAGGTGCTTGTTTGACAATCCATTTTTTTAAGGTTTTCTGACCCCGAGACTCAACTATTTTCTGCAATTCTCCAGCTGTGGTCCTTGGAGAGTCTTTAGCCACTCAAACTCTCCTCCTCACCGTGCATTAGTACGATATAGACACACGTCCTCTTCCAGGCAGTTTCGTAACATTTTCTGTTGCTTGGAAATTCCTAATTATTGCCCTGATGGTGGAAATGGGAAGTTTCACTGCTCTAGCTCTTTTCTTAAAGCCACTTCACTAATTTGTGAAGCTCAATTATCTTTTGCTGCACATCAGAAATATATTCTTTGGTTTTTCTCATTGTGATGGATGATTAAGGGACTTTGAGCTTTTCTGCAATTCTCCAGCTGTGGTCCTTGGAGAGTCTTTAGCCACTCAAACTCTCCTCCTCACCGTGCATTAGTACGATATAGACACACGTCCTCTTCCAGGCAGTTTCGTAACATTTTCTGTTGCTTGGAAATTCCTAATTATTGCCCTGATGGTGGAAATGGGAAGTTTCACTGCTCTAGCTCTTTTCTTAAAGCCACTTCACTAATTTGTGAAGCTCAATTATCTTTTGCTGCACATCAGAAATATATTCTTTGGTTTTTCTCATTGTGATGGATGATTAAGGGAATTTGAGCTTTTCTTTTCCTTCCTATTTATATTTCTGTGAAACAGGAAACCATGGCTGGATAATTTCATGTTCATAATCACCCTGGTATGCTCAAAATTGGGAATATTCTTCAGAGATATTTTACTTATAAGAATTTCTAGGGGTGCCAATAATTTTGTCCAACGTGTATTTGAGAAAAACATTTGTCATAATGATATTTCCTCCCATTTTAAATTCTTATTATCCAATGAAAGGTTCGATTTTTGTGTTTTTTTTTTTTATAAAAGATCAAAAGGATTAACAATGCAGATTAATTTTCACAACCTCCTTTGATCATATTTACCAAGGGTGCCGATATTTTTGGCCATGACTGTGTGTGTATAATGATGTGTATGTATAATTTATAATGATTATATTTAATTAAATTATTATTAATGAAGTTGTTATTATTATTATTATTATTATGTAAAGAATTTGAATTAAAATATTTAACTGAATGAAAGAAATCCATGTGTCATATATGCTATTAATTAAAAATAAATTTAAATTAAATTTTTTTTCTAGAATTTCACTTGGTTTGATGTTTTGTTATATAATGCAGTGATTTCACACATCGTGTCCAAGTACTTTTTGAGGCCACTGTATTTTTCTTCATTTATGAGATTTCTGCTCTGTAAAATGGTCTGCACTTATGGATTTGATTTATTTGGACCGCAGTAGTCCTCATGCCTGCGCTGTCCAGTCACCGTGTGTAACTGCTGTTTGCAGATGTGCTCATTGTTCCTCCAGCTCAAATGAAACACAGATCCAGACTGAGTGAATGGAAGATGCTGGTCATTTTTCCATCCAGTGTTGTGTAAAGCATCATGGCTCACAGAGGGCAGGGCTGAGGTCAGCGCTGAGGCTCGAAACACATTAAATAGGGTTAAATGCCTTCTTCAGGTGCTGTTATACGCTTATCAGTAACGCTGAGATTTATTTAAGAGCTCCCTCTGTTCAGAAACCAGCTGGAAAGCAGGAAGGAAGTGAAGCCTAGGTTTAGCTGGTTAACATGGTCCAATTAGCCCCTGCTGGAGGATGCAGGAATTACACAATCATAACAAAAGCCAGTTTTTACTACAAACCATTCAAAAGTTGCTGTTTATTCCGATTAATTATTTTTTGGCAAGCATAAAAATGGTAAATAATTTATTAAGTTAAAACATAGTTTTAAATATATATTTAAAAATATATTTAGTATGTAAAATATATTTATGTATGTGAAGTGAAGTGAAGTGAAAGTGACATGTGGCCAAGTATGGTGACCCATACTCAGAATTAGTGCTCTGCATTTACCCATCCAAAGTGCACACACACAGCAGTGAACACACACAAACCATGAACACACACCCGGAGCAGTGGGCAGCCATTTATGCTGCGGCGCCCGGGGAGCAGTTGGGGGTTCGGTGCCTTGCTCAAGGGCACCTCAGTCGTGGTATTGAAGGTGGAAGAGAGCACTGTACATTCACTCCCCCCACCTACAATTCCTGCCGGTACGAGACTCGAACCCACAAACTTTGGGTTATGAGTCCGACTCTCTAACCATTAGGCCACGACTTCCCCTTTGTTATTGAAATGTTATTACATTTACATTTCTTTACATGATTTAATAATTCCATGAAGACAAAAATCTCTCAAATATCGGTTATTATTCATCATAATTTCTAATTGACTAGAATAATCCCATCTGAATGTATTTTTAGTGATTTAGTTATTATATTTCAACTCAGGAGATAATAATAATTATTATTATTAAATATATTTAAATTTAAGTATATTTAATATTATATTTAAATGTTTACTTTTAATAATTCCATGAAGACGCATTTCTTTCAGACATCTTTATCATTCATCAATCTCTAATTGAGTAGAATAATCCAATCTGAAATTATTTTTTTTAATATTTATTATATTTAAGCTGTTATGATGAAACCTCTGGCACTCTTAAAATCTGATGCTTGTTCATGAATCTCTCTCAACACACTCTTTGTAGGTGACCAAATACTTATTTTACCGAGGAATTTACCAATTAATTCTTTAAAAATCCTACAATGTGATTTTCTGGATTTTTTTTCTCATTTTGTCTCTCATAGTTGAGGTATACCTATGATGAAAATTACAGGCCTCTCTCATCTTTTTAAGTGGGAGAACTTGCACAATTTGTGGCTGACTAAATACTTTTTTGCCCCACTGTATATATATATATATATATATATATAATTTAAATTATATTAATTACATTTTATAATATATATATATATATATAAATAATAATTAGTGTAATAAGCTAATATAATTTACAGGGTAGATTTGAGATGCACAAAATCACTTTCTCACAGAAAACTAGTTTGGCCCTACTAGGTCTTAAAACATACCTGTTGCATTGAATTTCTGCTAGAGATGAACAGTTTTTCGTTCTCAGGTCCAGATTCGCCCGTGGAACCTGAGTGACAGTGATTTTGTGATGGATGGCTCTCAGCCTCTCGACCCACGCAAGACCATTTTTGTGGGAGGCGTTCCACGACCTCTACGTGCAGGTGAATCTCTCTTGTTGTCCTCCCAAATTTGAAATGTCATTTATTGTAATCTTGTGCATTACCATCATATTCTGTATAATGGTGTGTTTCTGCTCTGTGTGTGTTTAGTGGAGCTGGCTATGATCATGGACAGACTGTATGGAGGTGTGTGTTACGCCGGCATTGACACTGACCCAGAACTCAAATACCCTAAAGGTGCGGGCCGAGTGGCCTTCTCTAATCAGCAGAGCTACATCGCTGCCATCAGCGCCAGATTTGTCCAGCTGCAGCATAATGACATTGACAAACGGGTGAGTGAGCTGCAATGTTTGTCATTATACACGATGCAGAAGACAGCCGATTTAATAGCAAAATTCTATTCATAACTCCTAATCAGGGTTATGAAAATAAATCTAAAACTATAGAAAGTACAATACATGAAATAAAATAATACTGAAATAAAGTTTAAAAAAAAAGAAATAAGAAATATATATATGTATATGCATGTATGTGTGTTTGTAAATTAAAAATTATAATTTTATATATATATATATAAATATAATTTTTTTACTCATTTTATTTGAGCCAGTTGGCTACATTTCTTCTTTTCATTTAGTTTAAGTTGATGTACTAAAATATTAAAACTGAAAATGTAAACTATTGATATTAAAAACAATAATTAAAATAACAAAAACACAATAAAATTACTCAAATTTGAACTAAAATTACAATGAAATGGAAAAAATATATAAAATGTAAATATAAAATAAAAATAACTACTCTCTCTCTCTCTATATATATATATATATATAAAAATCAAAAATATAAAAATAAAAACGAATTCAAAATATTGATTAAAAACTATAGTGGTCTCTCAATTATACTAAAATAACACTGGTCCTAGTGCACTGAACTTTATACAATGAAGCATTAAGCTACAGTGATACAGTCAGCAACACTTTATAATGTGACATTTTACTTGAAACGATTTGAACTTTGACGCCGCTTGACCTTTCAAAACACAGTCTGAGTTTACCAGACTGTTTGCATGAGATGCACTGAAGAGCAGTGGTGTCAAAGACTCTTTGCATAATCATGGGCCATTTTAAAAATGTGCAGAATGCTATGAATGCCGTATTGACTAGACGAGTCCCAGAAGAGGTTTATACTGTACTTTTATAACTGTAATTCTAGATGTGATTGCATAGTGGCACTTTCTGTACCGTTTCCTGCAGGCCGCTTCCATACGGCCAACAATACAGACCGTGGAAACCCCAGAGCAGACTGTGTGTAATCAACATGACCATGAGCTTCTGGAGGCCTGACAGCCATTTGAAGTCTCAGACTATACATAGTCATATACATAGTCTCAGTTTGTTAATTATAGCTCCATGCTATTCCTGTGCGCATATGTACACACTGGACTTCCTGGACCGTTTTGGGAATGTTATTCAGAAGTAAATAGCTGAAGGCCACTGGACTAAAACTAGATGCTCACCAGAATCACCCCTCCATCTCCATGACACATCCTCAAATACTAGTTCATTTTGAGCTGTTAGTGTAAATGTGAATTTAGAAACTAAAGTCAGTAGTTGACATCCTCTACCACAGTGATTCTTAAGGGGTAGTTAGCAAGGTTTGATGGGTAAATGGAGAGATTTTAAGTTTGCTTTGTTAATGCATTTAGTTCTTCTATCTAAATATATAAAACAAAAAAAATTATAATCTTAAATATTACACATATATTACTAAAATATGTAAACATTACAAACTATATAGAAAAGGATATATATATATAATATATATATATATATATATATATATATATATAGTGCTACCAAAATTAGCCTGTTAATGCAGGCGATTAATTTTTCTAGATATAAAAATAACGTGGGGCGGAGCTAGGGTACCACAGTGATTCTTAAGGGGTAGTTAGCAAGGTTTGATGGGTAAATGGAGAGATTTTAAGTTTGCTTTGTTAATGCATTTAGTTCTTCTATCTAAATATATAAAACAAAAAAAAATTATAATCTTAAATATTACACATATATTACTAAAAATTGTAAACATTACAAACTATATAGAAAAGGATATATATATATATATATATATATATATATAGTGCTACCAAAATTAGCCTGTTAATGCAGGCGATTAATTTTTCTAGATATAAAAATAACGTGGGGCGGAGCTAGGGTTGGCTCACAACCCACTCACAACTGCTGCTTCTATATTTCCTACTTGCTGAGGGGCACAGGAATGACATTTATTATAATGGGTTTATGTGAAGATTATTTTAAATTCACTTAAATTAGAAGTTGTTATTTTGTTTGTTATTTTTTAGTCTAATAAATGTTAAAATTGATAGCTCTCAATTATACTGTAATGTTAAAGTCAGCATAACATATAGTTAATGCTTCAATATTAGGGAAAAAAGAACAATTTCATAGAGACAACAGTAGTATTGGTACCAGCGACACTCGCCTTCAGTCATAAAATAAAAGATGCTATTAAACATCTTTTTAAAAATATGCTGTCTTTATCTTTTTTTCTACATTTAATTTGAAGATTATAGAAATAAAAAAGTATATTTAAACTCTTTAATGTCAGGTGGGATTAATCTAGATTAATTTCAGAAATGTGTGATTAATTAGTAACATTTTTTTAATCGATTGACAGCACTTATAATATAAATGTGTGTATATATATATATATATATAATATAAATACTATATATAATATATATGAATAAAAATATATATATCGGTTTATATATTTATATATGTGCATTCAGTTTATCTATAAATATAATATAATACATGATTATATACACACACACACACACACACATATATATATATATATAGTTAATAAAAAAAAATTATATATATGATTTTTAAATATCATATCTAAAAAATATAAATATATGATGAATAAATGTATATAAACCTGTTCATGCATTGTCTGTGTGATACAGCATTTATTTGTAATAGACATCTTTTGTAACATAAATATCTTTACTGTCACTTTTGATCAATGTAAAGCATCCTTGCTGAATAAAAGTATTGTGCATGCGCAGTACCGTTTGTTTATGTTGTTTCCGTTAAAACCGTCTATATGTATGTGTGTTTTTAGAAACGTATAATCGCTCTCTCTGCCCATGTCCACAGGTGGAGGTGAAGCCGTACGTGCTGGACGATCAGATGTGCGATGAATGTCAGGGCGCTCGCTGCGGAGGAAAGTTCGCCCCTTTTTTCTGTGCCAACGTCACCTGTCTGCAGTATTACTGCGAGTACTGCTGGGCGAGCATCCACTCGCGCGCCGGCCGAGAGTTCCACAAACCGCTGGTGAAGGAGGGCGGAGATCGACCTCGGCATGTGTCCTTCCACTGGAGCTGATGGCAAGCGGCACAGCACCCTCTCCACCCACCCACCACCTTCAACACCACGACCAGTGACCGCACACGGATCTCATTCTTTGTTTTAGAAAACAAATATCATAGTATCTCTGTCCACTATATTCTCTGCTTACAAACACTTAGGAAAATATGAATTTTGAGTCTGCGTGCTCAAACGTTGCACTTTGGCACAAACAGTCGATGTTAACGCTTGTCAGGATGTCGTGCTTTAATTCTCTCATTATCCTTCGTTTGATCGCTTTAGTGCTCCATGTAGGTAACATTAGGCAGTGTGAGACTATATATATAATATATACAGTACATTTACAAAAAGGATATATTTATCTATATACACATAGATAATACATTTTGGGTGTCAGACGTTTTAAAGAAGCATGCACTTATTGTGAAAACCAGAGTGGTAGGAAATTCCCCCCTAGATGATGACAAAAAAAGTTACCAAAGGTAAAATGAATTCATTACGAAAATCATGTTTAAGTGAGCTGTTAAAAAAAAACTAAAAACTTGAGTTATTAAGAGTAAAACGCCATTTGCTCTCCATGTTGAAATGAATAGTAATACCTCATGCATGCATCTCTTTCTGTTCGCTTCGGTTTTTTAGGCTTAATTTTTTACAAGTTTTTAGTATTATCTACATGTAATGCTGCAATAGCTTTTGCTGCTAAATCCATGGTATGAGTCCATACCGTCATACTTTATTCAGGCGAACGAGCGCTCCGAAGGGTCTCTCTGAAACGGCATGTCAAATGAGTCTGCGATGCATGCTGTAAAATCAGGTCTCGCTTTCATTTCCCCCACGATGGGTGAGCGATATGGAGCACTATGGAAGCTTATTTCCTCCACAGAATCAAAAATAAAAATTGCATCTTTTTATCTCACAAATCTGACTTGTGAGGGGAAAAATTGACTAATTCAGAATCGCGAGCGGGGAAAAGTTTGAATTCTGAGATATAAACTCGCAATTACGAGGATAAAAAGTCCGCATCGCTAGATAAAAAGTTTTACTTTTTTTTTTATTCCATGGCAAAAACAAGATCTCAATTCTGACTTTTTCTCACAATTGAGTCAATTACGAGGATAAAAAGTCCGCATCGCTAGATAAAACTTTTTTTTTTTTTTTTTATTCCATGGCAAAAACAAGATCTCAATTCTGACTTTTTCTCACAATTGAGAGTTTATATCTGACAATCCTGACTTTTCTTCTCAAAATTGTGAAGGAAATAAAAAGTCCGAATTGTGCGATATAAACGTAGAATTGCAAGATGTTCAATTACAATTGCGAGATAAACAAAGCAAAAGTCTAAATTGTGAGATATAAACTCGAATTTGAGAGAAAAAAATTTTGAATTGTGAGATAAAAAGTCGCAATTACCTCTTTATTTTTTGTCTTCTGATTTGTATTTATTTATTTTTGTTTGCATTTATTTTTTGGCAAAGCCAGAATAGTTTTTTTCATGCTGGAAACTCGCAAGTGTGTGCATAATTCTGACTTTGTTTATATCTCACAATTCTGACTTTTCTCAGAATTGCACGTTTATTTCTTATAAACTTGCAATTACAGTTCAACTTCGCACAGTTGTGTGATATAAACTCAGAATTGTGAGTTTAAAAAGGCTTTTATTTTTTGGCAGAAATAAGCTTCCACAGAGCACAAACTGGGCATGACAGGAATAGGCCTACCGCAAAAAAAAAAAGAAACACCCATGAGATGGGCCAGATGACAGAACCGCTCAACCCAGTTAGATGTAGGATCTTCTCACGAAATGTCTTCTAACAGGTGAAGTAATTTTTGCAGTGATTGTTCATAGAATTGTGCAATTTTTTATACACTATGTAGTTCGGTTAGACGACGCCTAGAACTGTGATTCGCTTGAACTGTTATTGATGTCTGACATGGAACGTCCTGTGAAACTAGCACAAGTAAACATACGGTCCACTTCTGCTAGTTAGCGTCCCGTCAGAACCAAAGAGCTGTCCGACTGGAAACGACCAATTACACTACGTTACACGCCGGCGATTCACAATACGGTGTCCGACCGGTGACTCTGGGAGAATAAGCGAACACTGGCTTGAAATCACTTACCTAACTTTGAGATACGGCGGGCGGAATGACCTCACGTAACCGCTGCATTTATATCCAGATTATCCAGCAAAGCTTGAAGTAGAATCATGTCGAAACTAAATTGAGAGATGGTGGAGAGGAACACGTCTTGGCTGCTTTTTTTCGAGAGTCAAAAAACGGTCAGCTTTAGGTTGGCACGTTTAGTTTGTTAGTCTGAAAAAACGACAAACGCGAACAATACTTTTGTACCGATGGAGAAAAAGGATTGTGGGTAACCCTGAATTCTGGGTGTGTTTGTGATATTTCTTTCCCTGCCCAGATTTTTCTCGGTTTGTTCCTTCTGTGTAGTAGATTTGTTATGCACTACTCTTTGTATTTGGATGGTTGAACAGTCAGCGTTGTTTTTTGTTTTTTTTTAATAGAAAAATGTGTGCTTTCTGACTGACTAATCTTTTGCAATACCTCAATTTTGAAATATAATAGGAGAGAGATTGATATTTTCTAAGTAAGTTTATTCAAATAAAGACTATATATATTAATTTAATTCTGCTAGAGAAAAAAAGAAAAGATTTAACAGATGCTTAATTTTATTTTTGTCACGCTTATTTGCTTTTAATTTTATTTTTGGAAAAACAAAAAATTAAAAACAAGAACAACTGAAGGAGTTAGCTGTATTATTTTAATACTGTAGGAAGCTGTCCCTGCTGCGACATCACAGTGTTCCACAAACAAACATCTGATCTTATTACTATTATAGAATATATATATATATATATATATATATATATATATATATATATATATTCTATAGGGAAAAAACGGCGTGAGGCTTTGTTGTAATGTGCAATACTGTTTGTACCGTTTGTAAAAAAGAAAAAAGAACAGAAAAAGGCATAACTCTTTATTGCAGATTTATTTTCATTGCGAGCATTGTGATTCACTAAAATCATTTTCTACCGTGTGTTTACTCGACGTGCTAGTACCTTCCAGTAGTAATGTAGCCTTTGTACTGAGAATTTCTCATTATTTTTTTTATATTTTTTGCAAAAAAAAAATGTAAACACATTTTCCATTATTTTTTATTTGCTTTACACACTTATTTCTCAACCATTAATGTTAGCTATTTCTGGGGGAGACTTTCATATCTGTTCATATTCATATTATTTTGTATTTTTATGTGGAATAAATTAATTTTATGACACTAATTCTTAAATTTTTTTTTTTTTAGTTAAACTTTGTAAGATTGTTACTAAAATGTCTAGATTGTGTGCATACTAAAAGTGTGATTGGGGATAAATAATTGCACACAAAAATTAACAGCAATCATGGTTAGTAATATAATGCGATTGAAATGTAACGATGAATGGGCAATAAAAAAAATAAATAACGGCAGAATGGAGCAAATGTGAGGTTGTTGTGGTGAAACCCAGCCAAGAAGCTCTGCAGCTCCACATTCACTGTCACAATACAGTCTGTGTATTTAACTGAGACCCGTGATGTTTCCCAGAATGCATTTGACTTCTGAGCAGAGTGTAGGGGAATAGATCTGATGGTAGTAACGGCCTTTCAAACAGTCAAAACACAAACATGAAAATTCCCTTGACTAAGACATGCCTCGTTTTCCTTCAAACCATCTTTGTCTTAAGAGTTTCCTATATTGCAACCATTTGAACCTTTGATAAGCTGTGCTGTATAGTTATAAAATGTCCTGTTTAGTGACACTTTCAACAACAAAAAAAAAAGTCATTTTGGCTTGTGGTTTTTCCTCTTCTACCACACTTTTAGCTCCATTTGTCATTTTTAAACATGATTAAAATCCTATTTTTTTCCCCAATGCAGTTTAACTTTTAATTTGATAGTTCCATCTGCGCAAGGCTTTGAGATTGTAATCTTGGACCTCTGCTTGTCTAACTGTGCAGTAAAACTGTGATTAAAGGATTTTTGGGAGAAAATAAGCGCAGTGCTGCTAATGCTTACTAGCTTTCCCCACAGTCATGATTTTTCCCTTTTCTGTACTAAACAGCAAATCTTATTAAATGTAATTGTATGACACTGTGAAAACATGGTCATCTTTTGCACGGTCTCGTTCTCTTCTTGTAGAATTTCACTGCTGAAATGCAAACAAACCAACCACCTGCTGCAGGAAATTTTAATTGATTACCTAAAATATTAAAGTGGCTTATTTTTTCCTGACACTTTACACCACAGATGTACAGAAGTCATGAAACTGAACTTCAATATTTTGAACCGCGGGTGAAAGCAGCAAGACAGTAATATTCTATCAAACAGATGCCCAAAAAAAACAACAGCTGATGCCAATATGATTTTTTTTTTTTAATCAAACATCCACCAAAAAAAAACGGTATTAGTTAGTTTACCCACCTGTCATAATTGTGGTCTTTGCTGTATTAAAAATATTGCACACTGCGGCACATGTACCCATTTTATAACCGCATTAAAAAAAAAAAATACATAGCCTGTATTTTTTTTTACCGGGTTCAGTGGCTGAATTTTTGGAGGGCTCTTGCAATGTTATTTTACCTGGCTGCGGTTTAAAAATAATACATTAAAATAATATATAAACATGAGCAGCTATACCAGATATAATGAAGCATTTAAGTGTCATGTAACGGTTTTTGTTTTTTTGGTGTAATTTGCTAGATGGTTTATTTATTTTGGCATAATGTACATATTGGCATATTATATACACACACGTCAGTGAATTCTGTAATACATGACATTTAAATACTCCATAAATGCAGACAGACACAGACAAGGCATTTTAAAGAGAGCTCATTAGAATTTATTAAAATTCTACCAGCTTACCCAAAAAGGCAAATAACAGAAATATTTAGTTAATCTTTTCCTTTTAAAACTCTACAATGTTTCCGAGGCCATTGTCCTGCTGCTCTTCCAGCTGTCCCTAAAGATCTCAGTCAGTGCATGTAAGACTTCTGATGGAGCAGCAGCTACAAGCCCTTCATAATCCTACAGGAGTTAGTCAAGCGCCTCCTTGTGGTCTGGATGAACCATTAAAGTCATTCTGCGGAAGCGTTTCAGTGCGTTCCAGTTCTGGTCTCACCAGCTCCCTTCATTCAGTTCTGAAATACTGTCATCACGGATACTGATGGCGAGTTCTGGAAATCCTGAGGTTCAGATGTTGTCATCTGTACAACACTCAACTTTGTAAGATTAGCTTAAAGACTTCCTCCAGTGACGCATTAATAACGGACAGTTTTAGATCTCAAATCTCGAGCGAATTGTAAGAACCTACAGGAAGAGGAAGAGCTGTAAGACGAGCGTTAGACTGGAGTGTTTAAGGCTACAGTGCTTGCGCACATTTATTAAAATTCTACCAGCTTACCCAAAAAGGCAAATAACAGAAATATTTAGTTAATCTTTTCCTTTTAAAACTCTACAATGTTTCCGAGGCCATTGTCCTGCTGCTCTTCCAGCTGTCCCTAAAGATCTCAGTCAGTGCATGTAAGACTTCTGATGGAGCAGCAGCTACAAGCCCTTCATAATCCTACAGGAGTTAGTCAAGCGCCTCCTTGTGGTCTGGATGAACCATTAAAGTCATTCTGCGGAAGCGTTTCAGTGCGTTCCAGTTCTGGTCTCACCAGCTCCCTTCATTCAGTTCTGAAATACTGTCACGGATACTGATGGCGAGTTCTGGAAATCCTGAGGTTCAGATGTTGTCATCTGTACAACAACTCAACTTTATAAGATTAGCTTAAAGACTTCCTCCAGTGACGCATTAATAACGGACAGTTTTAGATCTCAAATCTCGAGCGAATTGTAAGAACCTACAGGAAGAGCTGTAAGACGAGCGTTAGACTGGAGTGTTTAAGGCTACAGTGCTTGCGCACATCTCTCCGTTGTCCAATCAGACGGCTTCAAGTCATTTCTGGTTTTGTTGCTCATGTTGAACTGAGCTCATTTAAGTGAGTGCATGAAGCTGTCCAGGTCGTATTCGTTCTCGTACTGCTGCTGGTCCCACAGGTCACCCAGCCCATCCAGAACAGACTTCATACTGGCTTGACCAGAGGATGACGACGCTGCCGCCTCGCTCTTCTCTGCTTTATTATTCTAAACATCAACACAAAGCATCAGTATGAATGTGCATTCCTGTCAATCCCTGGTATTAAATTAATGTATGTGCAGATATTCATGTGGAAAACTAGCGTTTAGGGCAGCGCTGCCTCATGGGATGGTGTTTTGGATGCATGCAACAGCAGCCTGTTGACTGACAGGGTTTCTGCAGGATTTTTAAGCTTAAATTTAAGACCTGCACAAATAAAATTAATACCATGAGCGGAGTAGGGCAATGTCTATAGTACCATATTAAACTGTAGAATTACTGTAAAAAGCATAATTTACAGTTCAGATACAAGTTTTCACAAAAACAAAAAGTTTAATAAAATGATCAACTTTACATTCCAGCCTTTAAACCATTTTTAAGAAAATGTCCAAAGTATTAATTTAAACAATTATCATCAATAAATTATTATAGTCAATTAAACAACAAATTAGGGGTGTGCGATATTGACAAAAAATTATATCTCGATAATTTTCTGGGATTTTATCGATAACGATAATTAGAAAATATTTTGCGGAGTGTGTTATTGTACTGATATATCATATCTAATTGTGCTGACAGCTGATTCCTGAATTTTTTGATATTCTTCATATTCTGTGTGGTCAGTTTACAGCAGTGATGGAAATTAATCATTTCCAACTAGTTTTATGGGCATTTTTACCTTTAAGCCATTTCTTCTAAAAGTGTGCACCATCTTTTGAGTCAAATTCTTGCATTTGGGCGGTTACCAAGCAAATTAAATCAGTTTCAAACAAATGTATCTTTGCAATGCAGAGGAGAAACCGAGGCTGCATTAGAAGTGGCATTTAGATGCATTTACACACTGTTTAATGCAGCTCTGAGGGACATGGAATACTTTAATCTGCAGTTACAAATGCATAAATAATGTTTTGACATTTTAGACATAAAACATTGAAAACTGATGTTTGAAATTATTAAAAAATGAAAAGGTACCTTAAATGTGAAATAAAAACTGCCAGTAGGTGGCAGCAAGTCACGGTTAATAAGCGAGTCATTGCGATTGAACCGAATCATTTAAACGGTTGATTCATTCAGGAACGAAACACCATCATGTTGCTCAGAGACACGAAACAGCGCTGTGGCTGTGTTTGGAATTATTTTTGTTGGGAGAAATAGAGCAAAAACAGGAAAGATGGTGTCTAAAACGTAAGTCTATTGATATTAACTTATTGATTTTATACAACAGTTCAATAAACAAGATCACATTTGTAATCATGCTGACTTTTGGAGAAAAGAAAACGGCACATTCAAAATGCTCATTCATTCTGACAGCAGGTGGAGCGTTTGGTAGAAATATCACTGTTTCCCCGGTAATAGCAGAACACAAAGCAGCGCAGCACCGGACTCTGAACCTGCAGCGCTCATATTTCATAGCCTTCTTAAGTTTAATCGTCACATTCAGCATATCACTATTCTGGTCTTTTCGTCCCCAAATTTAAGACCTCTAAAAAAAATCATAATTAAGACTTTCTTGAACAATTTAAGACTTTTAAAGACTTTAAGACCCGTGGAAACCCTGGCCTGACCTTGTCCAGTGTGAAGAGGTTGAGCAGCTGTTCTGTGCCCATGCTCTGCAGGCTGGCGTTCTCTTGGCTGATGACTGTATTTGCAATGGTCATCTTAAATTTCTGCAGACCCATAATCTTCTCCTCCAGCGTGCCCCGTGTGATGAGACGATACACATTCACCACACGTTTCTGAAACACACAGACATGCATGTAGTATGAATGCAAAGGTTCACAGTTTACATGTGGCCCAAAAATCAGATTTTTCCCTATTTTTGCAACATGACTTAAGTATAAATAGACAAGTCAGAATGTGATTTTTGTGGAAATGTCACAAGATGAATAAATGAATACTGAAGTGGGTAACTACAAAAAAAAAAGGGGGAAACCCCCCCAAAAAAACCAACCTTTTTGCAAAATAAGCACAAAAAAACCCTTCAAAACAGAAAACAAAAAAAGCATGCACACAAGGAAAAAAGCATGAAAAAAACCCCATAAAAAGCAAGACAAAAAAAAACAAAAACTTTAAAACAGCCAAAAAAAAAGCAAAAAATGCAATAAAACAGCACTAAAAACAACGAAACATTAATAAAAAAAGCAAAACAGAAACACACACGCACACACCCAAAACAAAACAATTCTTCCGTACCTGTCCTATTCTGTGAGCTCGATCCATGGCCTGCAAGTCTCTCATGGGGTTCCAGTCATGCTCCACAAACACAACGGTATCTGCTCCAGTCAGATTCAAACCCAGTCCACCCACATGGGTAGTGAGCAGCAGAACATCTATGGATGGGTCATTATTAAACCTGTAGAAGGGGGAAAAAAAAAAAATCCCATATAGCAACCCACATCGAACTGCCCATGAGATAAAATATTTCCAGGGTAGTTTGCGTGGCTGTTTCACCTAGAGACTATGGAGTGTCTGAGGCCGGCCTGAACGCTTCCATCCAGCCTGAGGTAGGTGACTGTGGGCAGCTGTGCTTTGAGCAGATCCTGCTCCACGATGTCCAACATGCTCTTCAGCTGGCAGAAGATCAGAATGCGGTGCTGGGCCACCACAGCCTCTGTGCCGCCATCAGCTGCTCCAGCAGAACCCAGTCCACAGTCCAACAGCAGCTACAGCGCAAAAATAAATACATGCTGCTGTTACTACGGTGTTGTCTGTTTGTATTTTACACTAGATGGCATTTGATGATCATTTGACGAAAATGAAAAAAAAGAATTTACAAATGTGGCTGATAAAAAAAATTAAAACTCAATATTGGCTGATATGAATTAACAACTCCAGAACATTGTTCTACAGAGACAGGAAAACACAAGTACAGGCATTAGCTTGTCAAATTCAAACTTTTTACGTTTTAGCCAAAATTCATGGACATGTCAGCAAAATCTAAAAAGCACACTATCATGAGGTTTAGGTCAGTAAGATTTTTTTTTTAAATAACTGAATACTTTATTCAGCAAAGACATTAAATTCACTAAAAGTGACAGGAAGGCAACGTAAACGTTTTTTAAACGCTTTCAGAAATCATTCTAATATGCTGATTTGCACCTCAAGAAACACTATATGAAAATAGATTTATTTGAAATGGAAATCTTTTATAACATAAATTTATTTAATGTCAATTTTAATCCATTAAATGTATCCTTACTGAAAAATTTCAAAATTTCTTACTACTACTAATAATAATCATCTTACTGACCCCAAACTGGTAGTACACCTTACTCCATTTCTAAGAATTTAGGAAGCATTATAATTTAAACACCTACGTGAAATACAAAGGCACTTTTAATACAAGAAAAGAGCTTGATTTTCATTTGTGACATGCAGAGGATACAGGCCAGGGCTTCGATGGCTCCCTCCTGCTTGGTGTTGTCATCAATAGCACCCAACCAGGGAAGCACATGTTCCAGGAACACATTCATGGTCTCCATAGTAGCGATCTTGCTGAGCACGCCCACACAGCGCGCTGCCATGTGACGTACGGCTGTGTATGGATGTTGCAGACAGGTGCACAGGAGAGGCAACTGCTCCATCAACTGCATATATATAGGCAACAGGAGACCGGTTAAAACTGCCACTGTTCATGTAGTGATACTAGATGTTCTTGAATGTTGTAAGTGTGTGTGTGTGTGTCCATACTAAAGGGTTGAGCTCTTGGGACATGGCTCCTGCTGTGACCTCCAGCACCTGCAGAGAGTTGACAAGCTCCTGAGCAACCGGGTCTCCCTGCTTCAGCAACTGGCTGGAATCTGCAACAAACACCAAATGAGGAACAGGAAGAGCATTTACAAAAGGAATAGTTCACCCAAAAATTTTAATTTATCCTCAGTCCATTTAAGATGTAGATGAGTTTGTTTCTTCATTGGAACAGGTTTGAATAAATTTAGTATTACATCACTTGCTCACCAATGGATCCTCTGCAGTGAATGGGTGCCGTCAGAATGAGTTCAATATGATAAAGGCACCACAATAAACAAAAAAGCTGCATGTTTGTAATGAACAAATTGTAACGTTTTCCCACGCTTTTGTTGGGTATTTTGCTGGGGTGCCAGACAGGATTTCTGTCAGTAATTAGGTTTCTAGTAGAGAAAACGTACAAAGATCTCATATGTAGTCTGATTTGTCTTACACAAAACCCGTAACTTAATGGTAAGGATTTTGCACCAGCAATCAATGCAATAATAATCACCTTTCAATAGAAAACACAACAGGACACATAGAATTGCATTCAAATATGTATATTCAGAAGTGAGAAAATTCAAGTGTCTGATAAAGACTTTTGATTAAAGAGGGGGGAAAAAAACAAACACCAAAATCAGTTCAAAATTGTCCAGCCAAAAAATAGGCTACAAAGAGAGGAGAGAAAAAAAAAATGAGTCCAGTTCAAAAATCAAGCAGTAGTTCAAAAAGTAAGCAATCCACAGCAAATAGTTCAAATAGTCAAAATATTAGAAGAGAAGAAAAAAGAAAGAAAAAATTAAATCCCCTATCAAAAACAGTCAACAGTCAAGTCAAACAGTCATCCACAGCAGTCTGAATTGTACTCACGACTCCTTTTTTTAATAGTCTGGTACACATTTCCCGGGACTTCTTAGGCGCTGGTATATACAAGGCTGGAGGCTCCCATTCTGTTAATCCAGTTCAGGTTTTGGAACTACTCACTCGCATTGTTTTCCCTGCAGTGTCTCAATGACTGTCTGCTAGTCACAATGTCGAGGATACTTTCCTTTGCCTAATCCGGGAAGAGCGATCACAGTAGAGCGCCGAGCACACTTTTGCCACAGATAAAACAATAAATCGCCACGGGAGTCTTCAAGAGGAGCTCCGCGAGGTATACTCAATGCCTCCCGGCTGCCGCCGCCATCTTGCCGTGGGTGATGCGCGTCAGCCAGATAAAGATAAAAAGGGCTGGACTAAAGACATCATCATCATAATTCATTCATTATAAAAATGACTGTAGATCCAAGAAATATTGACATTTTTGATATTTGTAGATAATGATCACAGAGTGATTTCACATATAAATGATGACTGATAAATGCAAGACAGATAAACAATTCATTGCAATTTAGTTATTTCATTTTGACGGTCACAAAATACATAATTAAAACATTTTTAAACCGCTGCTATTTGCTAAAATAGGAGTCCTCCGTCTATAATATTTCTCCCACTAGTGGGAAAAGTTGTCTTGTCTGAATCAGGAGGAGAAACATATGCACAACCACGGTTTATAACTGAAAACAGTTCAAATACGCATGTCTGAATTTTAATGTGAGAGGACAACAGGAAAATGACTTTTTCACTGGAAGAAACTGTAGGATTACGGACTCATAATTTGGCCTAAAGCTGTGATTTAAAGTGAAAACGCCTTATTAATTGATTTATTACAAACACGCTTAGGGACACTTATTTCCCATTTTCCGGCACCCATTCACTGCAGAGGATCCATTGGTGAAAATGTAAATGCTACATTTCTCCAAATCTGTTCTCAACTCATCTACATCTTGGATGCCTTGAAGGTGAGCACATTTTAATAACTTTTTTTATTTTTGGTGAACTGCTACTTTAAGAAACATTAATCTGAACTATAAAGAGCTTTTCACAAATCTCAATTCATTTTAATCAAAAACTCCACTGGGGAAACAAAAAAGGTTACGAACAAAGTTAAAGCAGACATACCAAATCTCTGAGCATCCAGCGCATTCCTCAGCGGACCGGTCATGGACTCCCACAGATATGGCAACGTTTTGGTCAACTCCTTACCAAAATGCCTGGCAACTGTCATCAAGCAGAACTCTGCCCCTCTCCTCTGGATAAGACATGGCTTCTTGCTCTAGGTTAGGATTACACAGAGACTCATATGAGATCACTGAAAAGAACACAGTAAAGCAGTTAATTATAACACTGTAAATACCTCATCTGTTTCTGTGGTAATGCTGCCTCCGAGGGGCAGGTCATTGTTGGTAGTTTTGGGGGCTTTTGGTGTGGGTCCTCTCTTACTGGTGATGGCAAAAGCTGCTTTCTGATGCCGGTAAAGGGTGATGATGCCCTTTGACTTGTTCACCATGTGATGCATCGCATCCTTCTCTGCCACAGATGCTGCAGGATAGATTAAATACAACACCTCTAAAACCCCTGAAACAACAGGGCTCACATTTTAAAATTAAATCGCAACATGCAAATTAAATGGGATGCACCAAAATATTTATTTCTGGACATTATCAATACGATTACCAAATAAAAAAAAAGCATTACAAAAACACATTTTTTTTTTTTTAAATATATTTTCTAAAATTAATTTTAAATGGGCCAGAATGGACCTTAACAGTAGAATTAATTAGTAGAAATCAATTATAAATACTTCACTTAAATGTTGCATTAAACTGAGACACTTTACAATTTACGCACAAATTCATTCTTATCATGTTTCATAAATATAGCTAATGAAAATATGGGATATGAGAATCGGAGATAAGGTCTTCCTCTCACCTTTACTGCTCTCTTGTATTGCTGGAGTGCTGGCTGGCGGGACAGGACATGCAGCACTAGGGGTGAGCATTGGATCTACACACACCGAGCTGCAGAGATTCTTCACGATCTTGGCATTCGGGCAGGGAGATCTGGCAGCGCACAGCTGCAGCAGGCGGGCAATGTTGGAGGCTGCATAACCCTGGACGAGCATGTTCTCTTCGCGGCGGGCCGCCTCCATCAGGGGCCTGACAACAGGATTGAGTTTATCCGGCAGCATGGCAAGTCCAACCACAGCGCAGGCAGTGAAGGTATGAACTCTCAGCTGCAGCTGCTGCCACTCTGTGCTGGTCTCGCACACAGTGGAACGAGCCTGCAACTTCTTGCTGTCCAGCAGCTGGAACTGACGTGATTTGAGGTTCAGAGAGGAGGTGCATTCTGAGAAGATGGTGGTCACCTAGAGAGAATTAGAGGATGAAAACTAGTCATTTTGGAGACATTAATTCAATGTGGCATACAGTACACATACAGGCTCTACTTAGTTGCCTTGCTATCCCGTCTTACTGAAATGTATGGATTTTTTTTCTGTTGAAATTATCACATTATGGTATGGCCTTCACAAAGGACACATGGTTTTGGAAAAGAGCTCTAGATTTTTGGCATCCTTTTGACATCTATATAAATTCTACACATGTGAAATATAATAATAACAATAATAATACTTTATTTTAATTATATTATTATTACTATTACTATTATACACTTAATATAAATGAAAACTATAAACATAAAATTATATAATTTTAGAAATTCAATTTATGAATGTAGAAATAATAATGTAAATTTAATATTTAACATTAATAATATATTCTTATTATTATACACTATTATAAATAACAAAAAATATTTAAAAAATTATTTTAGAAATTATACATGTATACTTTATATTATTATTATTATTATCATACACTATATTAATATAAAAGAACTAATAACAAAAATAGAAATATAATAATTTTAGAAATTATAAATGTTTTACACAATATTTTATTATTTATGAATGTACTAATAACAATAATAAATGTAAATATATCATATTTAACAATGATTACTATATTTAAATAAAAACTGTAATAACAAAAATGAAATATTTAATATAATGATCATTATTTTAACCATTAATAAATATAATGTCTAATACATTTATAATGTAGTAATAACAATAGTATAAACATAACATTTAACATTAATAATTATTATGATTATTATTACAGTGTAATTGATTCACTGGTGAGAACAGACCTTATTCTTGTAATTAAATAAGAATTTTTTAGAACTGTAGTTTTTGTATCTGTTAGTGTCTTTTACTAACCAGCTCATTAGCCTGATCGATGGTGAATACAGTGGAGTTGATTCGTTCTCTCACGTCAATGTGGGCGTCAGCCAGCAGCGCTATGAGCTGTTTACATTCGTTCTGCATGCGAGTAAATGGAATGGCGATCTCGTCGTAGTAGAGTTGCTCTGAGAGAATGTCCAGCAATCGGGGCTGAACCACGCTGGACAGCAGCTCACACTCCTGTGATGTAGGACAGCACTAACAGTCATTAACATGTTTCAAAATAAACTAGATTGACCCTCTCCCATTCTCACCTTCTGAAGGCCTGCCCACTCACAGATCACCATGGATACCGCAATCCGCTGCAGGGCCGATTTGGAATTGAGATGGAACAGTAAAAGTTGTGCTAGAGACTCGGCAGGCCGGAGTTCTTGAGAAGAGCTATTCAACCGTGGGTCACAAATACAACTGCACAGTGCCCCCAACAGCCTAGGAGGACACAAAAGTAGTCTGTTGCACATATGACACAGAGAAACAAATAAAAGTTTAAAGAATTTTTTCCCCCACACACTTTGCAGCCATTAGACGTGCACGTGTCACCACATAGTCTCGCGTGGCAGGGTCTTCGGTAATCGTCTCCGCTCCACCGATGTACTCCTGGACCATTTCCTTGACTGGAACAGATCCCTGTCTGGTCTTTCCAGTAGCCTTCTCCTGCGGAATAACAGAATGAAGCTCAGAGCAGATCTGCTTTTGGATGAGTGGGAAGTGTGAAGGTTGTAGGATGGATTAGTCTCAGCCTCAGACAGCATGCCCACAGACCTCCCACAGTCCGTTCGCCGACTGCCTGATGCATACTGTATAAGAAAGAAGAAGAAAAAAAACTGGAAAGCACTTTCTCAATCTGGTGAGCACTAATCTAGAGTGTAAAATCTGCGATCTTTGAGTCATATCTGTACTTATTACTTTTGGACAGGCAGAAAGTTTGTAGCACATGTACAAACTTGGGCTTGGTAAGATTTTATGTTTTTGAAAATATCTTTTGCTCACCATGGCTGCATTTATATCATCAAAAATACTCTAAAAATAAATTGTGAAATCTTACAATTTTTTAAATAAATGTTTTCTATTTTAATACACTTTCAAATGTAATTTATTCCGGTGATGTCAAAGCTGAATTTGTGTGTTATATAATCATTCTAATATGCGGATTTGCTGCTCAAAACACATTTCTTATGTTGAAAAGGGGTTTAATATTTTTGTAAGGATTCTTCAATGAACAGCATTTATTTGAAAATAAAAAAAATAAAAAAGCAAAAGCCTTTATTGCCAATTTAATTGCCAATCAATTTAATGCATTGCTGCTTAACAAAAGTATTATTTTCTTTAAACACAATATGGTCATTTATGCTGCTCAAAACACATTTCTTATGTTGAAAAGGGGTTTAATATTTTTGTAAGGATTCTTCAATGAACAGTAACTTCAAAAGAACAGCATTTATTTGAAAATAAAAAAAATAAAAAAGCAAAAGCCTTTATTGCCAATTTAATTGCCAATCAATTTAATGCATTGCTGCTTAACAAAAGTATTATTTTCTTTAAACACAATATGGTCATTTATGTATGTAAAACCAACAGATGCAGCATGTGTGATGCTGTATAAAGGCTGATTTATACTTCTGCATCGGACCTACGCCGTAGCTTATGCATAGACGCACACCCATACGCCGTAGCCCGACATGCACCTCTCCAAAAATCTAACAGCGTGTCAATTCTACGCAGACCGCAAGTGCTGTGATTGATCTGCAAGAACCCCTCCCTCCATATGTACTTGAGTTTTGTGTGTGTTTATGTGCACTTTAATATATTTTAACGTTACACCTTCTTATATAAAATGAAACAAAGCAAAGAACAAGTGTCTTATAATTTATTATACTACATAGCATTATACATCACTTGTTGTCCGCAACAATCAATGTTGATCTGCCGTGGTACAAGTCCTTGTGCAGATTGAAAGCATGTCATCATCTCCTGTTCCGTTGTTGTCTCCTTTTTGTAGTTTTAAATAATGATTTGATATTTATTTGCCGCCGTCACGGCTATAATGCTTCTCCGACGAGCCGCTTCTTCTTCGGCTTTTGCCGTGGTACTGCGGGTTACACCAGCAACATGCCCGTGGACACTGCTGACTAGCGGTTTGCATGTGTACTGCACGTTGACGCGGACAACGACGCAGAAGTATAAATGAAAACTGACGCATAGCCTACGGCGTAAAGGCTACGGCGTTGGTCCGACACAGAAGTATAAATCAGCCTTAAGGTCAAACTGATTCTTTATTCCAGATAAGTACAGGTAAAGATTTTGACCTCCACCCTTACCTTTAAGCGTGCTTTAACTTCCAGCAGCATGTTGGGGTCGATTGGGATGTGTGACGCTTGCATCATCAAACAGAGCCAGGCACCCATCCAAGGACAGCTGGCTGCCACCACATACTGCTGCGGGGACTGTCGCAACAACTCCCCCCACACCTAGAAAACCATCAAAATATTAATAAACTAAGTAACATATCAATCATACAAAACATTCAAAGAGTGGAACAGAGTAAGAAATACCTTCTGTATCAACTCTAGGATCTCCTGGTTGCTCTCCAGGATGCAGGACTGAAAGATGTGTCTTAACATGTCCTGCATGATGGGATTCAGCCATAATGCACAACTCTGGAGGGAAAAGCATAAATCAGAGCAGGAAACAGGAAAGAAATAATACTTGAAACTGAAAATGTCAAACACTGCATATTTTGATTTTGCTAATCCTTCACACAGATTATCCAACCTGGTCAGCTTTGGAAAGCAATGTAAAGAGGGTCTCTAGGGCAGCCCGACGAACAGAAGCGATTGTATGTCTCAGGAATGGCCATACTCGAGGAACCAACACTGTGAGAGACTGGTGCGTGCTGGGAATGGAAAAACAGGGTTTTAGCTTCCCTTTTATCATTGTAAGAAAATGTGGTATTAATAGCAATGCAGTGTTTCCCACAGGATTTTGTGAGACTGTGGTGGGTGACCTAGGCCCCTCTAGGGATCAATGCAATTTAAAATTAGAACCAACCACTGCATTTTAATCATGATATAAACAAAGATGCTACACATATTGTAGCATGAGCAGTTTTTTTGATTGCATCATTTCAACATTTGAAGCAAAAACAGAACGGCCCGAGTTTAGCTTTGTGAATTTATGCTAAAACCTGCATAAAACAAAAACAGTAGAAAGGCTGAATTTCAATAGCAATGCAGTGTTTCCCACAGGATTTTGTGAGACTGTGGTGGGTGACCTAGGCCCCTCTAGGGATCAATGCAATTTAAAATTAGAACCAACCACTGCATTTTAATCATGATATAAACAAAGATGCTACACATATTGTAGCATGAGCAGTTTTTTTGATTGCATCATTTCAACATTTGAAGCAAAAACAGAACGGCCCGAGTTTACCTTTGTGAATTTATGCTAAAACCTGCATAAAACAAAAACAGTAGAAAGGCTGAATTTCACTCTCTGACAGCAGGTGACAATTATGGAACGGAGGGGGAAAAAATGGTAATCGAAACTTCCAAGTTTCAAAATACATTCATATAAACCCCCACCCCAATATTTAAATGTTTCATCAAATATACAGTGAGCTTGCTCTGCCTGTACAGTAGTGTTGGGCGATATGGTCATTTTTCAAATCGTCATATCGCCAGTCCGCGAGATCGCCGATAGACGATATTATTGTGCATGGGTGGGAGGGGGCAAGAGAGAGATTATCTGTACTTGTCATAGGCTATTTCATAACTATTTGGCGTTTTAAACCGCGCGCATGCGCGCAAGAGAGGGAGCCTATGGAAGCACCACGAATCTAAACAATATACTTTCAAACATACTGATAAATTAACATGTTAAATATATTAAAAATATTTAAACAGCTAGTTCATATATATTCGGATACAACAGTCATACATCGCTATTAGGACCGCGCGTCCTGTGACGCATCGACGCACGGATGTTGTCAGTCTGGTCTGTAAAATCAGTCAACGGTGAAAATCAAAAGTAGATTTATTCACTCTGACAGCAGGTGACAATTATGGAACGGAGGGGGAAAAAATGGTAATCGAAACTTCCAAGTTTCAAAATACATTCATATAAACCCCCACCCCAATATTTAAATGTTTCATCAAATATACAGTGAGCTTGCTCTGCCTGTACAGTAGTGTTGGGCGATATGGTCATTTTTCAAATCGTCATATCGCCAGTCCGCGAGATCGCCGATAGACGATATTATTGTGCATGGGTGGGAGGGGGCAAGAGAGAGATTATCTGTACTTGTCATAGGCTATTTCATAACTATTTGGCGTTTTAAACCGCGCGCATGCGCGCAAGAGAGGGAGCCTATGGAAGCACCACGAATCTAAACAATATACTTTCAAACATACTGATAAATTAACATGTTAAATATATTAAAAATATTTAAACAGCTAGTTCATATATATTCGGATACAACAGTCATACATCGCTATTAGGACCGCGCGTCCTGTGACGCATCGACGCACGGATGTTGTCAGTCTGGTCTGTAAAATCAGTCAACGGTGGAAATTAAAAGTAGATTTATTTTAAAGACCAACAGTTTAACACTAAATATTGGACATAAAAGAACATGTTAAATATAAAGTATTTAAAACAGGCAAGTTCAAATATTTGGAGTCAATTTTAATTAAACCGATACATCAGTCATACAACGCTCCGGACCGTGCGCCCCATGAGGAGCCCGACGCACCACCACAGAAACAAGAATGAGATGCGTTCTAACATAACTGTGGCATTAAACTCAGTTAGTGAGGGCTCAGTTAAAATATTGCACATATATAGGATGTTCAGATTACTTGTTAAAGTGCAACGAAATACCTTATATCAGCAGACGATATGTGTCCGTGTTTGTGGTTGGAGACCCCATCGCCGGCTACTCATTAGCGCGCGCATATGCGTGTGTGTGAAATACAGTGCAGTATGAAAAAGCGGGGCAATTTGATAATAATAGCCAAATTATAATGGGCCGCCTAATAATAATCATCATCATTATTATTATTATTATTAATATAGGAGAATGAGCCTAATATTGTCTTGACTATCGACAAAGACACCTGCTATCGTCGATATCTCTGACTATCGTCGATACACGATACTATCGTCACAACCCTACTGAACAGTAGGCTATTTTCTTTGTGCACGTCTGTTAATTTTAGTCCTCGCTAGGGCTGTCGCGATAACCGCAATATCGTCAAAAAATAAATACATTTGTATTGCGAGCTATTGACGAGCAAACCGCAGAGGAATGCAAGAACCGCAGCAACCGCAAATTTTGCGTTTTCTTTTTTCGTAAGGTTATGCCCTTTTCTTTTTACACTTCATGCATGTGGACTGAATATTAAACAAGTTAGTAATGATAACAATGTGCACCATGCTGATTTGTACTGAGGCTCCGTAGATTTGCAAGCCTAAAAAGACAGTGAATGAGAGAGAGAGAGATCGGCTTGAGCGTGTGCGATTACTTGCGTCTGTCCTCCAGGCCGAGTCATATATATTTGTGAAAATAGGTTGTCATGTTCAAGGAAAGTGAAATCTCTGTCTTAGCATCGACGCATAGCTGGTCAGCTGAGCCTTCTAAAGTGCTGCTCAAAGTTAAAATGATTTCAACAGCGTGTTTCATTATGTCTCTCTTTGAATGAATGAATCAGTGTTTTTGAACGTGTAGTTGAATGACAGCCCCTTTCCACCACCTTGAGGCGCAACACTGTAACTGCACTGACTGACAGCTCGTCTAGAACGCGCGCGCAGGTGGAAATATCAATAGAAAGTCTCTTGTCCAGTCAGATTAGAAAATCAGATTACAACTAGGCTAACTGTTATACATATAGGCTAACGATAGCCTAACGATCTTATTGTCAGGCTTAGGTTCTGTTATGTGGACCGTTATTTTGTCATTCTCTTCTGTTTACTTCACTTCCTGTTTCAACGCTATTTGGTTTTGGTTTCATTGTCTTCTGAATATGACCTCGTTAGTTAGATCGTAACATACACACACACACAAATAAATATATATATATCTATATATATGGCGATAATACCGCGCTATTGAGCCACTCAAAATTACCGCAAGGGAAATTCCCTCACCGCGACAGCCCTAGTCCTCGCTTGCAAGAGATAAACCTACAAGCTTTTATTTTGACAGAAACAGCAGTAGAGCTTTTATGGCGGAAAACTCCAGCTTCAGTGAAAACAGGTTTACAAATGAGTCTCATTAGGGCTGTGCAATTAATCGAAAAACAGCTTCGATTTCGGCCTCCAACGATTATGAAAACACAATAATCGAGATCAAATCTATTATTGCGCCCCATTCCACCCCCTTTCCAGCGCTGCGCTTTCGTTCCTCCATAAAAGCCCAAGGCTCTTAAAGTGACAGCGGGCTAGTTTCCTGCTGTGACTGTGTGCTTAATATTAATCAAACAACAAAAGACAAATTAAAAAAACAACAAAAATAAATAAATCACACACACTGCTCTCCACTGAAGGACTTTTTAGCTTTAATAAGAAACAAAGAAAGTTTAATTCCTAAAGTGAAGACTACGCCATTTTATTTTACATTTGATTATTCATTTCTGTAGTAGGCTGTAAACTGCTTGAGACTTGCATACAAAAAAAAAAAACATTAAAGCACAGTTTGTTTCATTTGTATCTTTTTATTCTATTGTATGTGTCCTTTGCTTTTTTTTTTATTACTGACAGTTTAATTGTTTTCAATCATTTTGAGGACTTTTTGTTTGTTTATTTGTTACTCATATTGAGAATTGTGAAATTCCGCTGGTCTCTACAATGTAGATATTATAGCAACCTTATTTACAGGAAATATATATTTGATATGTATCATAGGGCTGGGCGATATAGCTAAAAAGTGTATCAACGAAATTATGTTTCATATCGTTCGGTATCGCTTCATTTTGAAACAGACTTGATGAGGGGATACAACCATATTACGCTTAGTTCATTTGACGGACACTTTGCCAAAGCAATGGCAGGAAACACAACAACCAAAGTGGGCCGCCACAGTCTGGTTAATGAATTGGAAACACTGCAATGAACATGAGAGCTCCAATAGAGATTTCAATAGAAAAATCTCACCTGCACTGGCGGACCTGTGGGTAAGTGAGCAGGGAGGACAGGAGGGTCATGATGCTGTTAGTCGAAGCTGTGAGATCATCCAGCTCCAGCAGGGCATTCCACAGTGTGTCCACAATGAAAGGAACCTATAAAGCAGACATGTAGGTTATAGATATGGAGGCATTACCCCAGAGCAATTGCTGCACATAATAAGTGCTAGATGTGAAAGGCCCCAATGTAATTCGAGCGAGCAAAAAGAAAAAAAGGAAAAAAAAAAAAAAAACCTACGACAATATCAGGCTAAAATGAAATTTGTTTCAGGAGTTCAAAACAACTTGTGAAAGCAAACTTTCCAGAAAAGTTTGTTTTGGCTGGTAAACACCTTCAAACTACCATTGGTCCATGGTTATTACGTAAGTGGTCTAGACCTCCGCCTTCTCGGACATTGAAATCTTCTCCGATTTATTTCTATTGTTCAGTCCATCAAGAACATACTGGAGAGCTGTTATCAGGTTGAAACTGAAGTTGGTATTTTCAATTTCTTTTAACCACTAAATGAAAAAGAACTTCTATTTGAGTATATCAGGGCCTTTAGACTGATTTAACGGTGTTGGAAAATTAGGAGTTATCACATGCAGAGTGCTGTAAGCACAGACACTGGCAGTGACAAACCAACTGTCCAATATTAGACTATTTTAAGATTTTCAGCATCTGCTGATAAGACATGCTCTCAATATATCCACATTGGCTATTATATCTGAACTAGCTGTCAAATTCAAATTAACTTTCAGCTCAGACCTTAGCAGGCTGCAATTGAACCAATCCATCCACCACTGGGATCAAAGCTGCTGCTGCCACTGCACGAACATCATCATCCAGATCCCGCAGGCCTTCTGTAATGGCAGGAAGAACCCGGGGCAGTAGCTCAGCGATCAAATCCTGAGGGTCAGCAAGATGTGAAAGACAACCACAAGTTAAACACTGCAGCATCTAGAATGTCACTTTCAATCTCAGCCAATACGAATCTAAATCCTCTCCACCTGTCTGATAGCAAGGGCATATTTGATGCCCAGTAGGCCTCCGTGTCGAACCTCCCACTGGTCTTCAGTTAGCAGCTTGAGCAGAATGTCCACAGTCATGGCAAAGCCACTGTTCGCCATGTGCCTCAAGGCCACACCCAGAGTCTGGGCACACGTCTCTCTGACAGGTGCAACCACCTGGAAAGATAAGAAAAAATAAATGCCTCAAGATGAAACCAAGAAAATGAAAGCCTTGCCATAAATAAATAAAATGGAAAAACTATTTCCAGTCTTTCTTTAAGGAAGAAACAGGCTTACACTAATCAAAAATAATGGCAATTTTTAATATACCAAAAAAGAAAAAGGGAAAAAAAAAAAAAAAACACGCTCATAAATGCATTTTTATTCTGACAAACTATTTCTTTCTTTAAAAATTTTTTTTTTTTTAAATTAAAAAAAACTGTTCAATAGTGACGTCAGCACATTTACATGCAAGTACAGGTTCAAATGTCAGTCTTGTCCAACCACAGGTGTTAATAGAAAATAATTCAGAAGTTGGGAAAACGATGACAAACCTCATCTGACACAAAGTCTCCAAATCTGTCTAGAGCAAAGACGCACAAAAGCCGGATGACCAAATCCTCCAGCCACTCCTGGTGCTGTCGTTCCATCTGAGAATGTAGAAGGAATCAAACATCACACACTGAACTTAAACTCTGACAGCGATAATGTCCAATGAACTGCTGAACACCTGTTCTGCTGTACTGCCAACAGTCTTTCCTCCGCCAGTACCGTGACACTTCAGCACTTCCCTCAGTCCCGTGCCTGCACCGTGACGAATCTAAAAATACCAAACAAAAGCTCACTGACCAACCAGTACCCCTTTCACTGTAAAACACACATAAAAGTAATAGTTTTCATTGCTTCAGTTCACACGTAAATGCAAACTGATTTGTCTCAAAAAAGCACACAACCAGCAGGCATTAGTATTGTTTTTAACTAGAACTGAAACTATTAAAAATAATTTTCTAATGGCCTTGTGGTTAGTGCGCCAACATGTAGCGCAACTACATCTCCGGCAACCTGCATTCGATTCCCAAGTGGAGGTTCTTTGTCGATACCACTTCCTTCTCTGTCCTATGATGTCAACACTGTTTTTTTTTTTTTTTTAAAGTTATTTAATTTTTGGTAAAAACACTTTATTTGAAAAAAGCTAAAATAAAATATAAATATAAGCAGCGTCAAACGATTAATCGCATCCAAAATAATAGGTTTTGTTTACATAATATGCGTGTGAACTGTGTATATTTGTTATGTATATACAAATACACACACACACACACACACGCGCGCGCATGTATATTTAAGATAAATGTTTATACATAATAAATGTATTTATATATACATAATAAATATACACAGTATACACATGTAAAAAAAAAAAACTTATTTTGGATGCAATTAATCATTATGATGTCAACACTGTTTTTTTTTTTTTTTTAAAGTTATTTAATTTTTGGTAAAAACACTTTATTTGAAAAAAGCTAAAATAAAATATAAATATAAGCAGCGTCAAACGATTAATCGCATCCAAAATAAAAGGTTTTGTTTACATAATATGCGTGTGAACTGTGTATATTTGTTATGTATATACAAATACACACACACACACACACACGCGCGCGCATGTATATTTAAGATAAATGTTTATACATTTAAAATATTTATATATAATATCAATTAATATGGACATTTTCAAAATATATACTGTGTGTGTGTGCATTTATATATACATAATAAATATACACAGTATACACATGTAAAAAAAAAAAAACTTATTTTGGATGCAATTAATCATTTGACAGCACTAATAAATATTTGATAAAACCAATCTTAAATTAAGCAACTAACCGTTTACAGTTTTTCTCAGTCGCTTTGGTGCATTTCTCGAATCAGAAATGAAATTCTCAAAACTACTTGTTCAACCTACACATCATCTAGTCACTTGTGCACATAATAAAAGCAGTTTCTCATTCATTTGAACAAGTTGATTGCTTTGGTACATTCATGCAATTGATTATGTACATTTATCTGCGGTTTCCTACATTATCAGTTGCTTATGTCATGTTGCTCAATTTATTATATAGTTCTCTTTGCAATAGTCTTACCCCTCAAAACGTCTAGTCATTAGTTCATCGTATAAGCAATTAAATGCAAAATGGTTGATCTAGTTCATAAACGGTCAAGCATATTTTCTACACATTTCTATTAGATTTTTGTAAACTTGCCATGAATTGTGGAAGTGAATCTTGACTTTCACAAATGAAGAGAACGTAGATCAACCAATTATAAACCAGTTCTCTGAAATAGGTACATCTCATGAACCTTCAATTGGAAAGCATATATAGACAGAGGACAACACAGTTATTCTGACAATGAACTTTATGATTTTTTATTTTCGCATTTGTGCCAATATTTCTTTTTCTTTTCTATATCACAATAACGTTGTAATGTGTTTTTTTTTTGTCAGACCACTAGTAAAAGTGTAACTGTGAATCCTATCTAGTCTCTTTCAATCAATATCCCACATGCAGTAATGTGTAAATTTGTACTTTTGAAATGGATATATGGTATACATAAGCATATGGCATACTGTTCAATACAGTAACTGTCATCCAAAATGTTGCCATAGTTTACATCAGGTAATACTAACAAAGTGCACTGTTAAATTGACCACATGACTAAGCATTTTGACGTTCTTGTTTGTGAAACATCATTCTGATGGCACTGATTTGTTCACTGACAAATACTTACTTTTGAGAGATGAACTAAAGATTTTGAGTAAGTTACAGGCTTTTGCAGGCAATCCATTTTGTGGTGCTGTTTGTACGAATTGTTTTGAGAAATGTACATACTTCTTTGCAAATATTAAGGATGATTCGAGAAATGCACCAAAGCGACTGAGAAAAACGAAGTAAAAGTTTATAGTACTACAATCAATAACACTAAACCAAAATAAAAAAGCTAAATGCAAAATAAATAAAACACAAATTTACTAAAAATTTTAATGAAAATTGACAATACAAAAAAGTCAATGCAAAATAATTCACTTTGATAGTAATAAAAAAACACTTATACTTAATAATTCTAATGATTAATGATGATAATGTGCAGTCTCAACTAGGGCTGGGAGATATATTAAATATTTATGATATATTCCCAATTATTTAGATGGCAATAAAAGTTATGCAACATTGTGAAATATGGCAATATTTTAATGCACTTTTTATTGGGCCATTAATTTTCCTAAGCACTGAATGATTAGATTAGTTGTATGATCCCTCCTTGTCTTGCAGCCATTTTAGAGCAAACACGTTTTGTAAGAAACTTTTTTAGTTATAATTGCTTAGTTCTATTGAATGTGTTAAAAAAAAAAAACTTATTTTGGATGCAATTAATCATTTGACAGCACTAATAAATATTTGATAAAACCAATCTTAAATTAAGCAACTAACCGTTTACAGTTTTTCTCAGTCGCTTTGGTGCATTTCTCGAATCAGAAATGAAATTCTCAAAACTACTTGTTCAACCTACACATCATCTAGTCACTTGTGCACATAATAAAAGCAGTTTCTCATTCATTTGAACAAGTTGATTGCTTTGGTACATTCATGCAATTGATTATGTACATTTATCTGCGGTTTCCTACATTATCAGTTGCTTATGTCATGTTGCTCAATTTATTATATAGTTCTCTTTGCAATAGTCTTACCCCTCAAAACGTCTAGTCATTAGTTCATCGTATAAGCAATTAAATGCAAAATGGTTGATCTAGTTCATAAACGGTCAAGCATATTTTCTACACATTTCTATTAGATTTTTGTAAACTTGCCATGAATTGTGGAAGTGAATCTTGACTTTCACAAATGAAGAGAACGTAGATCAACCAATTATAAACCAGTTCTCTGAAATAGGTACATCTCATGAACCTTCAATTGGAAAGCATATATAGACAGAGGACAACACAGTTATTCTGACAATGAACTTTATGATTTTTTATTTTCGCATTTGTGCCAATATTTCTTTTTCTTTTCTATATCACAATAACGTTGTAATGTGTTTTTTTTTTGTCAGACCACTAGTAAAAGTGTAACTGTGAATCCTATCTAGTCTCTTTCAATCAATATCCCACATGCAGTAATGTGTAAATTTGTACTTTTGAAATGGATATATGGTATACATAAGCATATGGCATACTGTTCAATACAGTAACTGTCATCCAAAATGTTGCCATAGTTTACATCAGGTAATACTAACAAAGTGCACTGTTAAATTGACCACATGACTAAGCATTTTGACGTTCTTGTTTGTGAAACATCATTCTGATGGCACTGATTTGTTCACTGACAAATACTTACTTTTGAGAGATGAACTAAAGATTTTGAGTAAGTTACAGGCTTTTGCAGGCAATCCATTTTGTGGTGCTGTTTGTACGAATTGTTTTGAGAAATGTACATACTTCTTTGCAAATATTAAGGATGATTCGAGAAATGCACCAAAGCGACTGAGAAAAACGAAGTAAAAGTTTATAGTACTACAATCAATAACACTAAACCAAAATAAAAAAGCTAAATGCAAAATAAATAAAACACAAATTTACTAAAAATTTTAATGAAAATTGACAATACAAAAAAGTCAATGCAAAATAATTCACTTTGATAGTAATAAAAAAACACTTATACTTTAAAATAATTCTAATGATTAATGATGATAATGTGCAGTCTCAACTAGGGCTGGGAGATATATTAAATATTTATGATATATTCCCAATTATTTAGATGGCAATAAAAGTTATGCAACATTGTGAAATATGGCAATATTTTAATGCACTTTTTATTGGGCCATTAATTTTCCTAAGCACTGAATGATTAGATTAGTTGTATGATCCCTCCTTGTCTTGCAGCCATTTTAGAGCAAACACGTTTTGTAAGAAACTTTTTTAGTTATAATTGCTTAGTTCTATTGAATGTGTTTTTCAGTACCTCCCACGAGGGGTTGAAGAGGTCATTGCACAGTTCATCACAGAAGCTTTCCAGGGGCCATTCCTGAGTCTGTGAAACAAAACAAAAAGAAAAATACATATTATTTATATACATATACACACACACACACACACACACACACGTGTGCGCGCGTGTGTGTATATATATATATATATATATATATATATATATATATATGAGACAGACAGAGCTGACAGTTGAATGTTAACAGCTCAATGTGTGGAAGAAAAAACAAGCATGTGTGCATGTCTCACACCTCCTCAAATAAATTGGAGTTATCAGGAACATTATCAATTAAGACTTTGCTGTCGGTTGCTGGCTGCTCAATGACTACATTTGTGGTTTTCCGGCGCTTCTCCTCTGGCTCTCCCTCAAAACTGTCATTGCTGTGGCAAGGAAACATAAGAGCAGTGGTCAGACTGACCGCCCACACCCCCATAAACAGTTATTATCTTCAACATGAAACGCTGTTTATAGGGTAGGGAGTCTTCAGGCACATCACGATCTGATTCCGAAAATTATTTTCAATTCATCTCTAGGAGTGCAAATCTTTGAAAAGTGAAGGTGGCTGTGAAAAGCATAAAAGCCGTTTTAGAACATGTCTACTTTCACCCACTAACAAAAATAGAAATAGCAGGTATGATAACCTAGTATCAGAAGCGATTTTTCAGCTTTCTGTGTAAATGCAATGCTGCAGACCTTAAACCCTCAGGCTACATTGTTTTACGTGGCTTTGCACAAGAATAATCAACTTTGTGACACACAACTGTGATTCCTGTATAAAAAAACAGATTTCCTTTAAATCTAGTTTATGATCCATAAAGTTTCTTGATTGCCGTCATCTTTAAAATGCTGTAATATAAAACACTTGCAGCCTCTTTGTCCCTGGCTGTTTAACAAGTCAATATACCCAAAAATAGCTAATAAATATAAATGTCAATTTTTATTTAATACTGACTTAAAAATCAAGCAATAACATGTTAGAAGAAAATACAAAGCTGATTAGCGTGACATCTCTACCTCTTCTCGTTAGGATCCACGTCTCTGGATCTCTGCTTTGCAACAAGTTTTGCCATCCTCTTGGCTTTGTTCTTCTGTCGATTGCTCATGCCTGGACGAAACTCTGAATCTATGAGCTCTGCAGCCGGCTGAAGTGGAGAACACAAAACGGAACTTCCAATTGAACATTTTAATACAGTAAGTGCCCTTTTACACCTGGTATCAGTGCGGAGCAATAGTTGCAGTGATTTATGCATGTTCACCATCTCCTCTAATGTCAGCCTTAAAACTGTAAGCTTTCTGAAGCGTTTGGCATTTGTAAGAGATCCAGCACCACTCACCAAATGGTTGCGTGAGAAGTGACAGCCCAGGCTTTTACCAGGCTGTGATCTGTTGGTACTGGAAGCGCAGGCATCCTCCAGGTCCTCATCATTAAAAAGCTCCTCTGTGTCCATGCCGATCGCTGCACCCATATCCAATCCCAACTTCTTCTGTAACTGTTTCCTCTGCCGAGCCAAACGCTCTTTGGGATCTATCTCACCTGAGAACAGAATGCAATCATGAGTAAGAATTGCAAAACAAAAGTCATCACCAACAAGGGTGTTCTAGGTGTTTGCTTTGCAATCCAAGTCAAAACTCTGTAATATTCTGGTCTCTCAATAGCACCCATTTTTCTGTCCACCACATAAAAAAAGAAATCACTTGCATAGAAAAGTAACAGCACTCCTCAATGAGGTATCATTCACAAGTTAATAACTTGCAAAACAAAAGTCATCACCAACAAGGGTGTTCTAGGTGTTTGCTTTGCAATCCAAGTCAAAACTCTGTAATATTCTGGTCTCTCAATAGCACCCATTTTTCTGTCCACCACATAAAAAAAAGAAATCACTTGCATAGAAAAGTAACAGCACTCCTCAATGAGGTATCATTCACAAGTTAATAACTAACACTAACACCACATATGAAATGGAAAAATCAAAATGTGCATGGAAAGATGGAGATGACAAACATACTATTATTCAAATTTCTTCCATACTGACATGCAAATAAAGGTACATTTATCACCTGCACCTCTTATCCACCTCTGTAGCAAAGAATGTCAAATGAACAACTGCTAATTTCCTTATTACAGTCAAATTTAATCGTATACAAATTTATTTTTAATGTAGAGTTATAAAAATTTTCTGCTCATAGGCAACAATGAATTAGTCCTAGTTGCATTTAAGATAATATACTTCTGTGGTACAAAAGGTGCGGGATGAGTTGATGTTGAGAAATTGAACAAACCTCAACCCCAAGTACAAACAAGTGTAATAACAGCATGAACGTTACAAATCTGCAGTTTTAACACACACATATGAGAGATATAACCCTACCCGTCTTGTCTTCTTGCAGCTCAAATTCAGCACCTGCAGAGCCGAGCAGCGATGCTCCGTGCTTGAGCAGACGGGAGATATCAAACCTGTAGAAACTCAGCCTGTCTGAAGAGATGTCCTCTGGTGACATATCTTCTGCACACACCTCTGAAAAAGACAACATGTCTTAAAGCACTTTCTCTACTCAAGACAATCATTAGACAGAAGCTTAAGTCTTGTTAGCTTTTAACATGCCACGTGGCATTACCACTGCAGGATCAAACTAGTGTTGATTTGCATTAAACAGCCTTGATAAAAATTCACAAAAAAAAAAAAAAATTCTACGTAACTAGTTACCACAACATCGTGCCTTTATGTAAATATCAGACAGAAAATCCCAAAACATCAAGTCCTCTAGTAATGCAATCTGGGATTAATCAGCTCACCATCTTTTGGCTTTGGAGCTGGGTTCCATTCTGGAATATTCCTCACTATGGCTTCGACAGCTTGTCCCGCTGCGATTCGTGTATCCCAATTTGGACTCCTCAAGTATGTTAAAACCTATTGAGCCCAGAGGAAAGGAAACAGAACAATAATCTAAAGAGTTAAAATTCAGATACGGGCAGCTTTGTTCAAATGTACAAAACATTAGGCAATTACGTAACCATCCAAACCTTTACCTCAATGCTTATGTTATTATTGTTATAAATGTTATTATTATTATTATTATTATATGTTAATATTATTCCTCTGTAGCATCTTCTGAGCTTTTCACAATTCATTAAATCATTAACCCAGTCATTAAAAAAAAAAAAAAAAAAGAACATGCAAAGAGGGTGTTACAGCACCACTAAAAAGGCACACAGACACCAAAGAGGGAAGAAAAGAAAAAAAGAGCAAAAAAGTGCCATGCATTTTGGAAATGTAAATAATTCAGTAACATGATGCATGATAACACCATCTGATACCACCACATCACATTTTGTAAGAGGGTGTAGCCATTCTTTCAGTTCAGTTTTGCACGTCTAAATCTTGGTCCAATTCTGATTTGTTTTTCAAATCCAATCTTTAGCTCTACACTAGCATTTTGAAAGTAATAAAGTTAACCTATTAGTTCAGACAGACAGTCAGCATCTACAACCATTGCAATAGTAATGATAAAAGTGTCAGCATGATGCTAAATTATTTTTTTTTACATTCAAGAGTGTCTAAGCAGTTCACAAAATGTTTTCACATCACATATGAGAGCATTGTGAATTAGGGATGCACGATATTATTGGCCCAGTACTGGAATCGGCCGATAATGGCTTTAAATGTAAATATCGGCCCGATATGAAAAATTATGTTGATATGTCTAGCAGATAAGAGGAATACATTAACTCACATGTGCTCAGGGTGTGCTAGCGATTAGATCACGTCAGCAGTGTGGCTCATTCTTGAAGCAAAGTTTTGCCTGAATGGTGATTAGATTTACTGCTTTGTAGGGCTGTCAAAATGGCTGAAAAACTTAATTCGAATTTTGAACTTAAATATTATCAAAATTCAAATTATATTAGAATTTAAAAGGCATAATTTCAGTTAGGGGGGGAAAAGCTTTTGGCTTCTCTCGAGGCCACAAGAGGGTGCATCGAACAAAATATTATGCACATTTCTTCAAAGCATAATAAAATAACACGACTATCTTTTTTTTTTTAAATGCATAATGTTTAAAATAATGTTTATAAACCTTATATAATTAAAGTTGCTTAAACAATTAGAAACAAAACAGAATCATGCATATATGTATAGTTTAATACAAAGGACCGAAAACCAATCACAGAGTACTTTCTTCATTTAAAAACATGAGATGCAGGGGGATGGGAAAAAAAATTAATAAAAATCGCCATGTCTCAAGTCTTGAGACATGCTTTTAAAAAGTTGAACTTACATTAATTTTCCATGGCTTTCTAAACATGCGGCTCTCGTGTGAGACGCCAGTGCAATGGTGATAGATGTCCCTCTAGAAAATGTGATAAATATGCGTTCTGTGTGAACAGTTTGGTTTCGTAAACAACATCATCTCCGCATTGATGTTCTTTTTTCCCGCAATATTTTGAATGAACAATGTAGCAGCACCGCATCTAGTGGGTTCAACTGGATAGACTAACAAAAACATTAAAATGCAATGACACTTACATCATTGTCGCATTTCGTGCGCCACTGATAAGGCTGCCTGACACACCTAAAATTCAAATGCAACGTTTTTGCATTCGAATGTGGATTTTTATTTTAAATTCGACAAATATTCGAAATTTGAATTTTTTTTTGACAGCCCTACTGCTTTGGATCGCTGCATTTAAACTGAGAATGCACATACACGTAAGATTTGTAATTTTTACAAATCGTTTGCTTTAGACCATTTACAAATGTTAAATCTTAAAATAAAATGTTAAGGTTACCACTGCATCTTTCTGGACAAAAATGCAGAGATTAATATATCTCTGCATTTTTGTCCAGATATATATATAGTTTATTTAGGCCTATAGTTATTTTCAAATCTTCAATGTACTGGCATTATATAAAAACTTCATTTTTGTTCATTTAATTCTAACAAATAAGTTCTAGTTAAAAACTAAGCAAAATGAAAAATAATTTGCTTATAATTTCTGCACAGGAGAGACTTGGTGTTGTTTCCAAACAAAAGGAAATATATTGGTATCGGCATCGGCTATAAAGAATGAGAATGTTACGTAACGGCGCGTTGAGTTCTGGGAAACTGCTTTGTTTATCCGCCATACTTGCAGGATAGCGCTGCCTTTCCGCTATTGAGTTTAAGGCAGTATTTGATTGTTTGTCCTGATTGTGAAAAATTTCACCAGAGTATGTCATTCATACTGCATCGATAATTGCAATAGTAACTCAGATCATCGTTCTGAGAGAAAACTGGACAATGCAATATGTTTTTTTGCCTTTTCTATGTGTAAAAACACCAAGGGAAGGAGGTTGCGGAGAAGACGCCGAATAGTAAATCTGTTCATGTCACTGATTAATCCCACTAACTCTCACTCAATAAAAGAATCACATTGCTGTGTGTTTTTGAAAGTTTTGATTTGGTTGGTTTAATAGTTAACATTACCTTATTTGCGAGCATGACTCTCACTAGGCTTTTGAATTAGCAGAACTTGAACAGGGGACTTTCTAAAATGCTTAAAGTGGCTTAATGTACCAAGACAAAGATAAAGACAAAATTGTAAAGCATATACTACGTGCAGATATGCATATAAGATCAAAATGTGAGCGCAACCCGTTTATTTACACGTTAAGTATTTCCCTCATATATAAAGAACGTGCTTAATGCACCGAGACAGTGATATTTAAAGACCACATTCTGTACACACATCTTACTAATAAATATGTGG